AAAAACACTAGCGGCTAACTAACCCTCAGCTTAAGTAGCTGCAGGCTACATAGCAGTTCACTGGCTTTGCATCAGCCATGTATGCCATGTATGCCACTGCGACAAACGAACTGGCTGCTGTTTTTCCTTGCCAGATCACTCATTCCAAGCTCCACCTTAACCATAAAATGTTCTTTCTGCCCAGTATGAAAAACACACACCCCAGTCATACGATGACTGCTGCCTTGTTATTTTTAATACCCTGTGCTTCAGAGTTGGTAAAACCAACACTGATTATTGTTGACTGCAATTGCTTTTTCACAGGTCCTTCTGATTTGTGGCGGCATGAAAAGGGTCTTTCAAAACAAATGTGTGACTATAGCATTAATGTAGAAATGGTGGAAGAAAACCCCTGTGTTGCAAGATTTACGTTGTGAGCTCTGTCCTGCTAATATGACATGGCTTGCAATGATTTCTTATAAAGGCAATGATGTAGATATTATAGCTGTATTTCTAAATGCGGTTGCTGGAGAGTAAGCAATTGAATGTAGTGGGGCTTGCATCTGAGTAAACATGCTCAGGCTTGTGCTGAGTGTGCATTTAGTGACTTTTGAATATTCAACTTCAACTTGGGGGTTTTTTTCGGGGGGGGGGGTTGCCTTCTTCCCCCATGAGTTGGCAGGGACAAAGGGAATGTCAACACAAGAAAAGAAATGTAAATAGATATAACTGTCATGACTTTTCCCTATTAAATTCTGGAAACTGTGTGTTTGAAGGTTTTAGGGCTCACTCAGAAACTTGTTAAAACTGCTACTCCCAGAGCTGTTGTGGGATGGTAGCCCAGTTTGCATCATAGAAGTGCCCTGCCCATGAATCTTGTCAGTCCCTCTCTTGTTCTCGATGAGCTACACTGAGCCCAGAAGCCTTTCCTGTAAAGGAGCTGTCTTGCGATTTCAGAAAATGCTAAGCTCCAGCTGTTCCCAGAGCCAGACCATCATGGAAGTTCAGCTCACCTTGGAAATTCCCAGTTTGTTTATACCTTGAAAATATCCTTTAAAAGATCCCCTGCAATACTGTATGGACTCAGAGGTGACTTGCTTTGACAAAGAGCTTGCAGTACAAACTCTTTGGTCATCTTTGTGGTACTATTTTGATGAAAACCTTATCTCAGATTCAAGTCTTTTCTCAAGCCTTGAGTAGCAACGTCTCTCTTTCCACTACCCAGTTTTGTACATGAGGCCATTACAGCCACTTGGGCATTATCCTTTTCTTTTTAATTTGGACATACATGCCCCATCCACCTTGGATCAAACTGTTCATACATCTGTGTTGAACTTCAGGCTGACATTTTATGCAGATTAGATTAGGCGCACACTGTATTGGCAAAGCAGGAAACTTTAAGAAGTCTGTGGGACACCAAAAACTTTCTCGGTGCTGCGTTAGAAGCCAATCCACATGAACCTTGCATGGAAAGCAGGATAAACATCAAGGGTAACTATGACCGGGCCCCTGCAAAGGGCTTCTTGGAGTTCATTCTGGAAGTAGTGATGGGAGAAAAGAGGGCCAAGAGCAGCTGGTGGCAGTGGCAATGAAGGTGTTGACTTACTGCGGGAGACACCCAAAGGGAACATACAGTCCCTAAGGGCTCCCAAATACCTGGAGGTGGCACTGCCCAGAGCCTCTGCTGGAACAGAGAGATAGATGAAATTAAGTTGTTTATGGTACCCAAAGGCTGATCAGGATGCACATCTAGAAAACAGTGAACTTTGGGTAGACAGACTAGACTGGAGATTAGGTGCTATCCTATGTGGTAGTGGAAGATGCTGGCAGGCGACAGCAAAATCTAGAAACAAAACTTAGAAATAAAACTAGTTATGAAGCAGGAGGCATATACTTTCACCTAACAGAAGAGTTTTTCTATAATTGATTCTGTAAATATTGGACAGATTCACTTATTTCACTTATTTGTTTTACATTGTCCCATGTTTTTGTTTTTAAGAAATCAAGGGGATTTGATTGGCTGCATAGCAGATTGATCTTATTAGATGTACAGTTAAGTCTCTGAGTGTAATGGGAGAAATTGTGTGAGGTTGTAGATACACATCAGGGTGTGGTATGGATTCCTCAGGCAACTAGAATGTCTATTTTGTTTGCTACAGAAACAGTTTTATGCACACGGTGGGATTGTGCAAGTTTCCCATAAGCAGTCTGATTCAGAGAAAAAGAAATCCTATCACTTTGGTAAACAGCCTGAAATGTGTGAGTTGCTCATCTGGTTCCCTGTTGGAAGACATTCAAATGCACAAGTGCTTTTTAAAGCAAGAGGCTAAGGCTTCTGCCCTTTCACATACTGCCCTTTCTCTTGAATTTGTAATAATTAGAGTAGTGCATGAGATACATTGATCTCAAATCTTTATTGGACTCTTTTTGATGGTACAATAAATCAGGAGGGTGAAATCAGATGAGATGCGATAAGAATGGGGTTGAAGAAATAAGGCTTATGCAATCAGCCTATAAGGCTATACTATCAGCCTTAGCTATTTGCCAACATAATTTTAGAACCAGTACAATATTCCCATGCCATGGCCTTCTGGGACCTTGCGATTATGGAGGGTGATGGGGAAGCTCCTTGTGGAGTCTACCACCTGAATCCAGCTGTTCAAAGTGTTCCTTCCTCTCTCATGTATTCAGCCAGCTTCTGCCCCCGATTTCCAAAAGTGGGGCCTTGGGATAACAGGATCCACTCCTTAGTTTAAAATGTATTGGATGTACATTTAAATAGATTGCCTTCATATACTCCTGAATAAGAACTCAAAAATTGCTCTGGATTAGACTGAAGGCCTGCTGGTTTCAGTTTCCTGTTCCTGCAGTTCCCTATGGGAAGTTTGCCAACAGGACATGAATGCAAAAGCATGGCCCCTGCCCCTCTTCCTAGCAACTGGTATGCAGCTGCTGATGCTACAGGGACTAGTACGCAGCCCTCATGGCTAGTAGCCCTTGAGGCATGTTATGTGAATACCCAGCTCTTCACAAGGAATCAGGCCACATGGGACCCTGCCAGTTCTTTTAAAACAGTCTGCATGGACACAGGAGTCCTCCCAACATTAAGGCCCTCCTTAGAGCAGGTTACAGGCTGCAGCCGGCCTCCTGCTCCTAGCCACACAGCAGCCATACAGGACCCGGCCTTTCTTCAATGACTCATACTTGCCTCTTAAGAAAAGAAGGCAGGGGTTTCAGCAGTGACAGCATGCAAACAGTTTGGCTCAGACTGCAGAATCCCGTTTGATGTCCTGCCCCTCCTACAGATAATCTATTGCGAGGTGACCCTTGTAACGTTTATTGTTTATCCATTATTTATCTCATTATTGCTCATTTCTGTGTTATAGGCCATTTTTTAAACTTTTCAGGCATTGAAACTGATCGATAAAGCTACCGATAGCCGAGTTAAGATATGAATTCCAGTTGCCCAGTTTCCTGTTCCCAACATTCTTTCCAATGTAGACAGCTGTAGTTTTGTCCCAGGCTGTATTTTGGATGGTGCTCATATACACCTATATTCCTGGCAGTCATATCAGGACTGTCCCCAGTCCCAGCCACAGGGGATTTCCTTTATAATCCTTGTGAGAGTAAATAAGTATCCAAAATAATGATGGATTACGATTTGTGATAGTCACATAGCTGCCCTGCTGTGATGGAATTTCCCAGAGGACACATGTCAGTTTAAACATATTGAGGTGACTTACACATTTACTCACCTGACTGAGGAGCTAGTTGTGCAGGTGTGAAAGAGCAGGCAAACCACCTCCCCGCCCACACACACACACTCACAATATGTACAAGGTAACATGCGACATGGTCATTGTGCATGTAGGTACATTTTCTACAGTTGCTAAAATCTTAATCCCAAGGACCAGGCAGAATTTCCCTCTATTTTGAATTCAGGAAACACACCTTCTGATTAAATTGGACTCATATACAAACCAGGATATAGACACTCGTGTCATGCATGTTTTTCTGGCTAGACCTCCACCCATATTAGTCATGCAATGCATTGGGAGTTAAGGTTCTGCCATTAGTTTTCTCACCACAGCCTTTTTATTTGTCAAAAAGTATTTCTAGTAGCCTACTAATGCAATACAACGACATGGACATCTGCAGCAGCCCCTCCTTATGCAGGAGTGGAAATGTTTCTCCAGTAGCATGCACAGGCACTGCTCTGCTGTGAGGATCTGTTGTAGCTTATAAAACACCAGATATCTGTGGACTTCTTCTGAATTTTCCACAAGCTGTTCTAGGCCATTATTATCCTCGGAAATGAACTTTTTCTTTGCTAAGATGCTCAATGTACTGGCATCGGATGGTGTCAACAAGCACAGCAGTTCCACAACTATTCAGTTTGGAAGATGATGTGAAAGATGATGAAATGTCACAGTTTCTCCAGTGATTTTACAGACTCATATTCAGAAATTACTGCAGTATTGGACAGTACATGAAAAATTACTCTTGGCTTTGTGTTTCTTTAACATCAGTGAAGAGAGGGTCATGTGTACAAAGCCCAGCTGGGTCATGTTAAAGGACACATGTAGCTTCATGTTTTCACACAATGTGCATGTGTCTTGTTCAAATATGCTATTACATTATGTGATAAAATAAGCTGTGAGCCAGATCCAGGAACTGTGAATGTCTCCTAGAGTTCTAAAGTTCATAGATGCGATAGATAACCTAGTCCCCTTTAAATGCTTGGAACTACAAATCTCTGACTATTGGCCATAATGGCTGTGGCTTACTGGAATTCTGGCTCAAAACATCTGTTGTGTACCATCTTGCTTCAGCTAGCTAGGCACCCTGTCCATACAGAAGGCTGCTTTTTCTTCGGACACGAATATGCCCTGGAAAGTATTCCATGGCTTTATAAGAAACAGCCCTTGGAATGCAGGTTGGATTTGTTGGCTGACTCTGCAGCTGATTCCTGCTGTCTGAACTTAACTGTTGCCTGTTTGCTGTCTCTCCAACACGAACAGTTATTCTGACAGATGAAGAGGTTCAGAGGAAAAGAGATATGATCATGAAGAGAAAGGAGGAAGAAGCTCTTAAGGAGAGCCTGAAGCCCAAATTGCAGGAGGAGCAACAGCGAGTCATTGAGGTGCTCCTTGAGGCCCACCGCAAAACCTACGATCCCACTTACTCTGATTTCAGCAAATTCCGGGTAAGCAGCAGAGCTTGCTTTCTTTGTTGTCTTGGTACAGCTGTGACAAGTAGGACCTCTTCTGGTAAAACAGGTGAACTGAAGTACAGAGGAGTTTTTCAGCACCATGGCTCTTTTGAATCAACAGCTGTAATGAAATTCTCACCAGCTTCGCACTTGGAAAAAGAAGGCTGAGGCCTGTAAACTGAATCAGTTCAATCGTGGACGGGCAGCTTGTGCCTCTGGATACATATCGGCCTATAACCTCTACCAGCCCTAGCCAGTGAGGGGTCATGGGAGTTGTATGCTGAAACATTTGGAGGAGCACATATTTGACACTTCGCTTTAGGTCAGCTTGCCATTATATGTCTGTGCAGGAGCCATTTAATATTTCCTTAAATTGGAGATGTGCCCTGGGTAGAAACTCCTTATGTGGGTAATTGGCTGCAAAATTGAAATTTGCTTATAAAGTGCATTTTAAATTGCTGTACTTACAAGCCAGTAAGAAAATTTTTGCTCTGCGCAGCCAAAGTCCACATGTGCATTGAACCTGCTTGAGCTAATAGCAATCTGTCCTTTAAAAAATCACTTGATGGAACCAAAGGGAAGGAATAGTTTTGCCTGGTTCAGAAATCGTATATATTCTCAGTGCATCGCATCCTTTTCAAAGTCTGATTCTGAAGCCACGTGTTCCAGTGGACAGTGCAGAGCAGTGGTGGGCAACTTGTGGCCCTTCAGAGGCGGTAGCAGCCACCAATGGTGAGGGCTGATGGCAGTTGCAGTGCATTAACATCTGAAGATCTCAGAGTTGCCCATCCCTGGTGTAGATAACAGGCCTGTAAGAGATGCCATTTGTCTGTCAGGTGGGCCCATTTTCTTCATCTGCGCTTAGCCCTTGAGAGGCTGTTTTCCTCAGTTCCAGGGTAGTAGTAGTAGGGAGGAGAAAGTACTTGCGGCTGAAGCAACCACAAGTGCTTCCTGTCCCGTAGCAGCAGGCAAAACAACTGGGAACCGGAGCTGAGGTTGGGGGTTGAGTGACGCACATGAGAACTAGGAAGAAAGGCTGGGGCAGAGAGCAGAAGTAGAAGTAGGAGAACTGTTGACTCATGGTTTTGGAAACAGTGTTGGTAATACTTGTTGTTTTTGCGGCACTTCCCGACAGACTTCTCCCCCCACCCTTCTTTCTCTTGACCAGTTCATATATTCTGAGCAAAATCAATACCATGGTGGGGTGAGAGTTTCCAAAAAGCCCTGATGCTCCTGACATTGCGTGGAAAATTGCACAAATTTGATAATTAAGTAAATATGCCTTACCTGTCCTGTATTTGCATTTTCTGCTATCTTTTGAGATCAATATGCAAATAGAGATGATGACATGAAATATTATTTGCTGTGACTTTCTAGCTCATGCTATGATTTCTGGATCTTGCTATATTCCTGGAGAAATCAACCATGTTGGGGCAAAACGATGGTCCATCAGAAAAGTTTTTTTCCTCGGGAATTCTTGCTCTAGAAAATGGGGCAATCAGTCAAATTAAGCAGCAGAATGTAATAGAAATGAAACATGGAGGTGGATACTTGCAAAGATACTTTGTACTAAGCTGGCCTGATTTGCACTGGATTCTTTGATGGGAGAGCTAGCTTGAAGCATTTTAAAAACATCCCAGGCCTTCCTTTGCCTCCTAGCAAGGCATCTCTATTATGTACAGTCTTCCCAACAAGTAGCATTAGGGAGCTGGTGTGTGGGGGTGCATATGCGGATGGTATAATGAAAACAAAGACTCTCTCAAGCAGTTGGAATGGTTATGCTTTCTGTTTCAGCCTCCTGTGCGAGACAGTTCAGGGAAAAGAAGTACAACTAGATCGTCCTCTGTCGTAACTCAAGGTTTCTCTTCCTCGGAAGACTCCTCAGATACATTCAGCTCCTCCCCAGGTAATACACCAGGTGACAAATAACATCTGTGCCCACAGTAAAGAATTACAGGAATGTTAGCACCACTGCAGATTAGTTTTCTAAACAGCAAATTCGGCACTCTGAGTTTTTTCATAGAGTTGCCCTTTGTAGGTTTTCCAGACCTTATCCTATATTGTGGCTGACTTATATGGCCAAAGTCCCTTCCTGGATTTGCTTTCTTTTGAGGACTTATGATTTCCCTTACCTTTTTGGCCTGCCCCACCACCCTTATTGAAGAAGGGCATGGCTACATTGTATGGGAGACATGGAGCTGCCACCAACCGTGTGCCTCTGTGATTAAGTTCTCCTTGCTGTAAGCTGTAATATCACATACCTGGCATTGTGATGTCACAGCAGCCTGTGACAGAGTAAAAGTGAAAGACGTGTGAAATATCAGAGCTTGCGGGAGAAAGGGGATAGCTTGACACAATGGGGCCTTTTTTGGTGCTAGCCCAATGTCTTGGTGCCCTAGGAGGAGCCCAGAATTACTAAATCAGTGTCTGCTTCTTTCTTTCCACATCAGCCTATGTGTTCAAGTTTCTGGGTAATTCATCCTTGAAAGGTGGGATGGATCCATTGCTGGATGGATATCTATTGGTCTGTCTATTTATTCTTTGCATAGATTCTCACAGCTAAAACAGGGATTTTTTAAAGTGTTGACTTACCTTTTCCTAAAACATACCAGCACTGTGCCTGAGATAAGAAGTCTAAATGGTGGGCTCTCTCCTTCCTGCTCTGCAGAGCCAAAGATGTTCTCCAATCTGGAACTGAGTGATGACAGTGATGAAAGCTCAGCCATGGCCATAGAATTCTCACACCTCTCCATGCTGCCTCACCTCGCTGACCTGGTTAGCTACAGCATCCAGAAAGTGATTGGATTTGCCAAGATGATTCCCGGCTTCAAGTAAGGATGCGTTTGGTTTTGGAATGCTTGGGTGCCTTTTCCATTTCTTTTCTTTCTCTGGGTGTTTTTTGTTGTTTTAAATTAGACAATGAACCTCACCACACAGGCCTGAAGGTCTTCTGCTATTCTGTGCCCCGCAACCCAACAGCAGCCATCTGTTTGGCAGGCAAGTGTGGAGAAACCTCGCATACGTTGGATGCAGGTAGCCCATTGCTGTGAGCTTGAGGATCTGCAGACTGCAGTGCTAATGCAGGCTTGGCACTGGTAGAGGGTTGGAACGGGGCATTCCAGAGCCCTCCGAAGCAAACCAGCACAAGAAGGAACTAGTAGGGCTAAAAACTACTGTAGGCCTGAGCTTCCCCTAAGTACTGTACTCTCTGTACTTTTCCGGGTTTGTTAGCATAGGCATTTTGATGGCACAAAGTTGACCCTCCGTTCCCAGGAAGAAAGTGTCCATAACTCTGCCTGGTGCAGGATCATTTCCCTCCTTGATGCCCCCCACCAGATATAGCATGCTGCTCCACAGGGTTTCCGCCATGGTTTGAAAACCATGCCTCCAAAGCAGCTTCCTTGAGCTGGTATTCCAGATGTTTTGGATTACAGCTCCCACCATCCCTGGGTAGTTCAGCACATCTAGAGGACATCATGTTGGGGATGCCTATAATAAGCACTCTGCCCCTGAATGTTTTTCCTCCATCTTAGAATAGAATATTAATCCCTAGAAGTCCATCAAAGATGAAAAGATTAAACATGCTATATTTGTATATAAACACGGGGGGGGGATATTTTGCTTTAACTAATCACTGCTGAGGATTTCTAAACAAAAATGTTTAGGCAAAGAAATTAAAGCTGTATTACATTCATCCTCACAACAGTGCTGTTTAATAAATCACAGTTATTCAAATTTTACAGAATGAGAACTGTGGGCACAGTTCAGGCCTCCCTCCATGGCCAGACCTGACTTGAGCAAATCTTTCCAGCCAAAATAGTTTGCAGTCAAGGGGGTTATTTACAAATCTCACAAACTGAGCATTGATAGAGTGATTGCATGATCACTCAGCTGTGCCACTGATTTGAATAACAATTTGCTCAGCTCCCATCTTGTCTACTCTCTGTGTGTGTGTGTGTGCGCAGGTGCTCATGCATATCAGCCATGACCTCACATGGTTGAGGTAGAATTTGAACCTAAGTTGTCTTTATCTATCTGGACTTTACTTACTCTTTTACACTGAAGTGTAAAGGCCATGCTAAACCTGAGAAATTAATTTGGCTTAAAGTTGAACTGTGTAGATTGCACACAGATTACTCTGTGTTTGATTACCCTTACTCCAGTGTGTGGACTATGTTAAAGGTACTGCTATTGAATTGGCATCAGGTAACAAGTTCTGTCTGCGATGTTTGATCAGCTCGTTCACATCTCTTCCTGCTACTCACTGAGCTACATATGGAAACATATGAACCAACCTGCAGTAGTTGCATGTAATTGTGCAGAGTTGATTGAAGGCTACCACCTGGGGGGTAGTTGTAGATATACTCAATGAAGAAGAATAAAATTGTTCTCCAAGGAAGCTCCCTTGAGTACTGCCTTCCTAATTGTTCAGTTGAGAGGAAGCAAATGATCATCAGTCCTCACCCTTTTTGTATGATAGATGATTAATGATAGATGATTTGAGGTCTCAGGTATATATTCTCCCTTCTCAAAATTTAGGGATTTAACAGCAGAGGACCAGATTGCTCTGTTGAAATCCAGTGCCATTGAAGTAATTATGCTCCGTTCGAATCAGTCATTTTCACTGGAAGACATGTCCTGGACCTGCGGGAACAACGACTTTAAATACAAAATCAGTGATGTCACTCAAGGTACAGTACTTTCTGGTGTGAAGGACTTGAGATGCCTGTGCAAAGCGCAAGGCTGCCCCGGAGCAGTCATGTGAACAGGCTTGCCTTATCCTGATCCCCATCCACATTCTGCAAGGCATCACTGAGGAAGGTAGAAGTGGAGCCAAAAGAAAGTCAGAGGAATGCACCAAAAACAAGGGTGCTGGGGCACACCGTGTTTATTGTACAATGTGCAGTGTAATGTTGCTCTCCATGCATTGCTTTTGCAGTTGCTCCGTGCAATCTATTAGGATACTTAAACAACAAATGGATGTCAAATGATGGCAATAATAGGTCTGAAAATAAAGGGGAGCTGTGTTAGCCAGTGGGTATTTTGGAACTGATTCATATAATGGTCTTTAGGCTTTTCCTAGGGATTATACGTTAACTCTCAGTGGCACATTGGAATGGGAGGTGGGCTTCATCTTGGGTAGTGTTCTAGCATGCAGCTGCATGACCTTTGAAAAAGACAGTGATGATGTGCAAAATTAAAAGCTGGGTCTCTGCTGCCATCTCTGTTTTTCATCTGTGGAAAACCAAAGAAACTACAGACCAGGACAGAGAATGCAGGAAGTTGAAAAGGCAATCATAGAAGCCGGCCCTTGGAGGAAATGGGTACATCCCATCCAGTACACAGGGACACTGGGACAACAGACCTGACACAAGCTCATTGGTTCTATGAGCTTTCGAGGCAGAATGAGTGTGCCCTTTGGTCAAGCAAGCCATATGTGCCACACTCCCGGGCTTAAGCTTATCCTTACATTTTCTCCTGGCTTTGTTTCAGTCCCTTTTGTTTGCTTCTCAAAAGCAGCTTGTGCTTTTCTGTGTCTGCTTCAGCTGGCCACAGCCTGGACCTTCTCGAGCCCCTCGTGAGATTTCAAATCAGCCTGAAGAAACTCAACCTGCATGAAGAAGAGCATGTGCTTCTGATGGCCATCTGCATCCTCTCCCCTGGTAAGAAAGCCCTCACCTCCACCTGCCTTCTGGGAGGCTGCCCCTGAACAGCAGCCAGCAGCCCTGGGCGCCTTCAAGCCAGACATCTGTCCTTCACTGATGCGATGCCTGTATAGGACAAAACGCACACAGCTGCGTGCGCAGCAAACATCATGCAAGGAGATCTCTGTGATTGCTTTAGACTTGCATACATTGGCACACTGGGCTGGCACAGAGGTTGCCTCAACAAGAAAAATATACTCCACACAGGAGTCCTTAAATGCAGGGCAGACCTGTTGCTTTCCCATTGGCAAAAAAGGGGAAGCAGTGGCGTCCTGTCTTTCGAGGCCTCCAGGTAGATGACTCTTGGTACTGCCAGTCAGAAGGCATTGCTAAGCTACTCCATCCGTTCCTTCCTTAGGTTTAACAGAAAAAAGAAGAGAAATGGTGGGAAAACATGGGAGGGTCAAAAATGTAAGATGTCCTTGGCTGGACAGGTCCTGGCATAGGAAAAGTCTCCTCAGGACCTACCCTTCATCACCCAGGAGTGCACATTATGGTCAGCTTGTTAAGACTTCGTCTGCACAGGCAAAGTTGCAGTGCAGTGAGCTGTTTTGCAGTACTCGGAGTTGTTCCTCCTATATAAAACATTGAGGGCATGGAGCTTGCCATAGCAGTGCCTCCTCCTGGGAATGGCTGTGTTCCTTCCAGCAGCCACGGGAGAGCTGCCCTTTCCAGAATGTACATGGAGGTGCTTCCCCAGCATCATCTGCCCCCATTTTTGGAAGAAGGTTGGGGTCACTGGATGAACAGCAGCACCCTGGAATTTTTCCTTGCCAGAAGTGTCCTACAAGAACATATAGAAAGTGGTGGAAACAGGCTTGTCCGCTGTTGACACAGGCTCCAGAAGGAAAGAGATTCCTTTCTCCCAGAGCCTAATGACAAGCAGCCAGGGCTCAATCACAGTTAAGAAGTTCACATAAGCCTCATCTCTTGTAACTGCATAAGGCACAGTCTGAGTGGCACGGTCTGATCTGGACCGTTGTTCTTGCTTTCCCTTTTTTCCATGCCAAAGCATCTACCTCAGAAAAGGCCCCAAACGTCCCACAGCTAGTCTCAACAAAAGTCTTGTCCTGCCTCTTTTCCAAAGAGTAGTCCCCGCCAGCCCCCTCCAGGATGAGAACCCCATTCTTTTGTTTTGATTAGCTGTTCAATCCACACCATTGCATTCATTTGTCTTGGGCACACAACTGGTTTTTTTTCTGCCACTTAGGATTTCATTATTCCCAAATTTTATTTTGTGGCACATGATAGGACAGTGAATATGTGGGTGTAACTGTTCAAATACAGTATTACTTAGAGAGACAGAGAGAGACAGAGAGTCAGTCAGGCATGGAAGCATGAAAGCTTCAAGACAGCAGACAAGAAAAAAGAGGAACTGGGTACATCTAAACCTTGACCTTCGTCCCTTGACCCTAGTCACTAGGTGCGTGTGTTATCTGTTCTCTTCCCTAGACCGCCCAGGCGTTCAGGACACTGCTCTGGTGGAGTCCATCCAAGATAATCTTTCAGAAATCCTGCAGACGTACATTCTCTGCCGACACCCCCCTCCAGGCAACCGTCTGCTCTACGCCAAGATGATCCAGAAGCTCGCAGACCTGAGGAGCCTGAACGAGGAGCATTCCAAGCAGTATCGGTGCCTCTCCTTTCTGCCTGAGCACAGCATGCAGCTCACTCCGCTGGTCCTCGAAGTCTTTGGCAACGAGATCTCTTGACTTGGCAGCAGGCACAAACACTCGAAGTGAAGGAAGGTGTCGGTCCAGCATCCCCTGGTGGCACATGGAGAACTTTGGCCCAAGTGTCGTTTTGCATATTGTGTTGGCAGGGGGTTTTCCTTTTGGGTTTAATCCACACTACCAGAGGGACTGCATTGTGTGTACATCCTGAGTCTTGGCCTTTGCACTGCTGTTGAGCAGCAAGCTGCGAACTAGCCCCTCTCTCCTGCCAGTCCAAACCAAACCGCTCTCTCACTTGCTGCTTTGCCCTGATGAAGCTGCTTGCCGCTTTCCTCACTGCTGAGCTTTCCAAGACAGCAGCTGAAACTTCTGCACCGTGTGTTAAAGAAGGCAATGACCGCATGAGAACTTCCACGTAACATTGGTGGAGCTTAGGGCCTGGGAGAGACTGGCCATTGGGTATTCTTGCCATGCCATGCTGAGAGTTTTCCATCCAGGATGACTATAGCATGCAGAGATGGTCGAAGGGGTTATTTTTTCCTGTGCACATCCATCTAATTTTCTGCCCAATACAAAGGCTCTTTGGCACAAAAAAAGTCTATTTATTAGCCTAATAATTAATAGGAAGGAAAGGTTTACTGAAATATATAACCTGTATCATCTTTCCAAGGGTATTTTTTTAAGTGATTGGTCCATTGTGTACAAACTTGCCCAGCACATTGTTGGCACTAAATAAATCTGTAATAGGAGGGGCCAATTTGAACTAGCTGTGCTCCCCTCACTCAGCGGTTGTGGGGAATCCTGAACAGCCCAGCCCCTGCCAGGATCTCCATGCTGTTCCATGAAAAAGGAACCCCCCAGGCCCATGCCATGGTTGCAGCTTTTGTCCTTACAGTTTCAAACACTACTAACTGCTAGGAGGTGATTTCAAGCAACCCGGTGGTATGGAGCTGACTTCAAGTCTGTCCAAGAGGGCTGAGCTGCTTAGAATAATGATTTAGTATCACTTTCAAGTGATGTGGCGAGTCTCCTGGTGATCAGATCAAGCTATGTACAAAGCCTAAGTATCAGAGCTGCCATATGAAGAAGTGATTTTCAGCGATCCCCTGTTGGGACATTTGAGTCAGACTTTCATCATACTCAGGGAAGCTGAAATTTATTTTTGTCACTCATGAGATGTTTACTGTGAGCTTGACAACCTCTGAGCAACATGACCTCTGGAAAATTTAAGCACATGTGAGCTGTCTGCAGACAAGGGAAGGAATCTGTCTTCGGTATTAAGTCAAATAATGTCTTTGCAGAGTAGCTATTTGTTATAGGTAATTGTTGCTATATATAGAAGTTGAAATAAGACAATCTCTTTTACTGGACCAACTTCTGTCTGGTATAGGAGTATGCAAGTGCTTGGGTGGCACCAAGTTTTTAAACAAGAAAAATGGAAAAAGTTAATTGTCAACTGCAGAGAGAGCACAAAGCTGGTTACAGTCGGGCATTTTCCCCATTGTTTTGGATAGATACTGGCCCATTCAGAAAACACCTATACTACCCCTGACACCAGCATGCCACTGTATTTGCAGAGATCACTGCAGTTTGCATACTGCAGACAGCTGCAGGTGATCCCCAAAGTTTCCGGTGAGATGAGAGGAACGGAATTGCATGGATACAAGATGGTTTCATGGAGCGGATCCCGGGGCTTCCTGACATTGTGTTGGTGGGGTGGGAGTAGGATTACTCAGAGCCACAGCTCTGGGTCCTGCTTCCTCAGAGCTAGGACTTGAAAGGCTGAGCTCCAGCCTGCCCCCACTCACAGCTCACATGCAAGGCATGCCCCTGGCTGCCTCCTCCACAGTCACAACTGGGCCTTGGAGGAGAGGAGGCTGGGGCCATGGACTTAGGCCAGTCCCGGTCAGCACCCCAGCTGCCTTCCCTTCCCCTCCCAGTGCTAAGTCAAGAGGGCCAAATGCACAGACAAGGCAGGAGGGTGGCAGCAGCCTCGCCATCGCCACAGCTCACTCTGTGCACAGGATGCCCATAGCCTCCAAGGCTGCATCCGGGGCGGGGGGCACTGGATCGCACCCTCAGTATGGCAAGGCTGGGATTGTGTTGGTGAGAAGCAGCACACGCAGGCAGCACAAGGCTGAGGTGACTGCTTCCTTTTTGGAGTCAACTCTCACAGTTACTCACTAGGTGTCAGTAGGGTAACACGACAGAAAGTGTTTCTGATGTAAAGTGCTTTGGGTTTGCTGCATAGCAATGAATCTTCCCCCCAAATTATGAGTAGATCGTTATACTCTAAAATTAGTCTAAATTACTAGGATTGGGAGGCTTCATCAAAGTCTTAACTTCCTTCTGTACTTGTTTGAGAGTTGGCACAAGAGCAGCCCACCCACATGGAGTAAGTCACTGTGGTGTGTGCGCGCGAGCGTGCGCATGTGGGTTCCCCTCCTCCCACAACCACACCGCTGTCTCATACTAAGAGCCATGCAGGATCAGACCAAGGACCCTTCTAATCCAGCCTTCTGTTCTCATGGTGGCCAAGCAGACGCTCCAGTGGGAATCCCATAAACAGGACATTTCCATGTCTATGGAGGCAAAGCCACTAAAGACCACACCTTTGTAGACTTAAATGAGGAGGAAAGAAAGCGCCATTGCTTACATGTCTCCTGATAAGTGCTTGCCATGTAAGCCTTCAGATCTCCTTTCCAAACTTCTGTCCCTTCAGTTGCAGGAGCAAATCTTAGCTGTGGTGTTTGGCTATTTCAGCAACATACACCCAACCTTTAGATGCTCAGGGTGCAATCCTGTGTGTGCCTAGACAGGAAAAGTCCTATAATTCCCAGCATTCTCCAGCAAGCATGGTTGGTTGAGGAATGCTAGGAATTGTAGAAATATTTCTGTTTGGACAGGCATGGGATTGTTCCCTTGGGCTGCAGTCCTGTGCACCCTTATCTCACAATAAGAGCCATTGAACACAATGGAACTTGCTTCCGAGTAGGCACATAGAGGATTGTGAATGGAGTTTGGGATGCCATACTGCCATTGGCAACATTGGGTCACTTTCAGTGCCAGATGGGTTGACTGTGTGTCTGCCATATGCTTGCATCATGAACACTCCACCATTTGAATGTGAGATACGCATCTGCAAACACATGGTGGGCAAGAGTTCCCCTTGTGTTTGACTCGAGTGTCGGAAGGTGCCGGAGTGCTTGTCCAGAAGGAAATTATAGTGTTCCCCACAAGATGCAGAGTGGACATCCAAGTAGTAAACATAAGCATCCTAACCTTCAGTAGGTTTTTCTGTGTCACTTTGCTATTAAGACATCTTTGCAAGTGAAAAAGTAGCAGCCTTGTTTAAGTTTTCCTAGTTTGAAAAGAAAAGAGAAGAGGGCATCTTACTTGAAGAAAAAGACGTAACCTTTGTAAGGAGCTGCAATCATGGATGGGAGATTTGGATCACACATTTCCATCCCTGAAAGCACTCTCTCAACCTAAAGGGACTGAGGTTGTGGTCTAGATTGCCACCTTGGGAGGGTCTTATCCTTAAAGGCAGTCTAAAAATAAGTACGGTTGAACAAAATTGGCATACTGGATGCTGTACTGGCCAGGAGTGCATCCAGGCGTGACCTCAGTACCTGTGTGCTTGACTGATCATAATCATAATTTAAATGCTCCAAAAAGCAGGTAAAGTTCCTTCTTAGATTAGATGGGCCCTGGTTAAAACAAATGTATGGAAACCACTTCTTAATTCTATTGTGAACCTTTATACATCTTTATAAAGATCCTTCTCTTATTTCTATCTATTCCATTTTCTTGGAGGCAGGGAAGAATAAATTCTAATTCTGCCTTTTAGTTATCAACCTTAAGCAGACAGAACAGAGCTGATGCTAGGGGTGTTTTCCAAATGAAGCTTTTATGGGGTTGCTGCCCTCCTTATGGGCAGTCCAGACATTACTGTTTTCTGCTCATAACCCACACATATTTTACCACCACTTAGTTTGCCTTTTTACCCAGAAAATCAGTTAAGAAAAAAGATGGAATTGCTGCACAATGCCTTCAGATTAGAAGCATTTGGTGAGCCTTGTCTGAGCTTTCTAAATTTAAAAACATGTGTTGTGACTGCAGTCACTTAGAGAATAAACCTGGCCACCATAGTTTCTAAATTAATTTATATGAGATAAGTTATCTGCCCCTTTTATTAAATCCTTTAGCAATGACTCTGCTGAATAATTTGCACCAAATTTTCTGGCAAAATTGAATGTGTAAATAGCTATTTAATATAAGTTGAAAATGTTCTCTTGTACAATGTAAGTCAGATTTTAAACATTTTAAGAATACCATTTGAATCAAAGCTGCTCCTTTTGAGAGATGCTGGGATATGATTTATTTTTCCAACTCTGCATGTGAAAGCCAAACCTGTACAGTTAAGAGAGGAGTAGTTTCTTTTTCCAAATGTGAAACACAAATTACTTTGTTTATTGCCTTGTATAATTTAAATTGTCATGCAGTGCACTTTATGAAAATCAGTAGAATGATTTAAAGAGACAAAACTATTTTTAAGTGTGGTGGTGGTGGTGGTGATAAAAAGGATTTAGGCAAATGTTATCTTTCTATTCCTCTGTACATCTTTGGGCTTTTTTGAATGGATAAAGAGAAAATTTAATATAAAAACTATTCCAGAGCTTTATTGACAAGATAAAGAATGAGTGAATACTGTTTTACATAGTTGTGAATGTAATATGCTGTTACCTTATTAATAAAAATATATTGCTTTGTGAAAAGGACTAATTTATGTGTATAATCTGTTTACAATGATGGACATGTTTGTTGAGAAGGCAGCCGTATTAACTCCAGTGGAATTCACTCCCACATAAGCTCGTACAGGCTTGCAACCTCATTCTCTTTGGGATCTATTATTTATTTTTTAGAAGTATGAACTGTACCTTCATCCAAAACTCGGCTTCATGGCAATGTACACAGCAACACTCAAAAATGTCAGATGCTTTACACCTAACACTTTAAACAACAGTACAATAAAACAGAAAGGCAAAGCACTGCTTGGCTATCTAATCCTTTACTCATGATCAGGGAAGGTTGGCAAGAACCCGTTGCTGAAAGAGGTAGTGGATGCCATATCACTGGAGGTGTTTAGGCAGGAATTATACAGCCAGTTGTTGGATGCTTTACACTGGATACCTGTACTCAGCAGAGGGTCGGGCTCCTTCAATGTAAGGGTTAAATCCAGACTTATATTTTTAAAGTTTCTTACTGATGTTTGCCTTAGTAGACTCTCCTATCAGTCACTTTATACTGGTTTTCCATATAGTATGCTGAAAGCAGTTCACCACAAAGCATTATTAAAAAAATGACATTCCTTATTTATTAAAGAAATGTCAGAACAATTTCATACCAAATACATAATAAGCCTATTCCAAAACAATTCCATTATCAACAAAAACAAAACGGAACGCCTTCTGACTCTGCTCATTATACCAGCAGCAGAGGATGGCCTGTAAGAAGCTTCAGAAGAAAGCAGGGCCAGTTATCAATCGCAGATGTTAGCTGGACCAGGATGAAACACCCTCTGGCCTTGATGCCAAATTTTCGGTAACGGAGCTCTTTCTGGTGGTGATGTACTCCTTTGGTGCAACCTTAGTATATTTAGACAGAAAAGAACCCCGGAATTCCCAGCATTTTCCAGCCACAATGTAGGGAGTTGTAGGAGTTTTTCCCTCTAAAAAGACGTATGATTGTGCTCTTAACATAGCTTAAAATACACACATATACCGCCAATTATATTTCATTATAAACAGCTGTCCAAATCTATATAATAGATTGTCAGATTCTTTTTAAAAATTCCAGCAGGTTATTTGTACATAGGTTGCCATGAGTCCCTTGTATTATGCAAAGCACAATGTACTTTGTAGACTCCCCTTCAAACTTGTTGTTTGATATCTGTACTATATCAGACCATACTATATCCACAACTTTGTCATCTGAGTGGGGGAAAGTTCAGTAAACAAAACTGCCCCCTGTTCTCCTCTCCCAGGCCACTTGTTTGACGTCCCAGATTATAAATACCAGCATACAAGGGAGATGCATTACAACTAGCACACCTCTCCACCCTGCCCCCGGCTTTGGCTACATTGGCTGGAGTTCACAGGAGTTGTGGTCCAGCCCCATCCACCCCTGGGAGACTAGGAATCACATGATTACGTAGGCTGAGGGGCCAGTACAGAAATGACCCAATATTTATTGTATCGGTACCCTGCGTCTCCCAAGAAAAATGGCACTCAGAGTGACTTAAAATTATAAATTTGATTAAAGCAGAAATGTCTGATGTTCAAGCTGGGTTCCAAACAGAAAGAGCCACTTGAGATCATATTGCAAATATATATTTTGGCCACCAGAGCCTGCCAAAGAATTACATGAGAAGATCAGGCTGTGCTTTATAAAGTACAGCAAAGCCTTTGACTGTGTAGCTCATGAGAAGCTATAGTTCATGGGTCCTCAAACTACAGCCTGGGGGCCAGATCCAGCCTGCCATGCCCATTTACCCGGCCGACTATGCCCATTTGGACTCGCCCGCATTCACATGCACACCCGCCGCTGCCCACCTTGCCCCGCGCTCACTTGGAGAAAATGAGTGGTTTGCTCACTCGGAGAAACCATTTCCAAGCGAGCAAGCCACTGCCTTGTGTGTCCACCTTGTGGCACATGCCTGCCCACGCCTCACCTTGCCTCATCATGCGTCCTGTCCCGCCTCAGCGTGCGCACCTGGACACCCCGCCCCCTCACCGGCCACGCGCACCAGCACCACCTTTCCAGTTCATGCCCAGCACCGGCAGCTTTCAACTGGCCCCCTGGTATAAAAAGTTGGAGGACCCCTGCTATAGATGGTCCTGGAAAAAAATGGGAGTGCCTCAGCACTTGATTGTCCTGTTCACCTGTACATGAAGAAGCTACTGTTAGGCCAGAATATGGAGAAACAGAATGGTTTCCAGTGAGCAAAGAAAGGTGTCATAAAAGGGTCTATTTTTATCTCCCTATCTGTTCAGTCTGTATGCAGCACATATCACATGGAAATCCAGATTAGGATCAGAGGAAGGAATGAAAATTGGTGGAAGACACATCAATCATTTAAAATAAGCAGATGGCACCATATTACTGACAGAAAGCAGCAATGAATGGAAACGACTCTTATGAAAGTGAAAGAACGTGCAAAAGCAGGACTGTAGCTGAACATTAAACACAAATCATGACTGCAGACTGCATAATGTTTGTGTCAATTGAAATTGTGAAAGATTTTGCATATGCTGGCTAAATCATCAATCCAAAGTGAGACTGCAGCCTTGAAATCAGAAGACTGAGACTTGGAAGAGCAGCAGCAAAGCAACTAGAAAAGATAACCAAACACAAGGGCATTTCAGTGGAGACCAAGCCAGGATCATGCACACTTGTATTTCACAACACTGCTATGGGTGTGAAAGCTGGACAGTGAAGAGAGTTGACGGGAAGAAAATGGATGTGTTCAAACATGGTGCTGGAGGAGAGCTTTGCAAATACTCTGGACTGACAGAAAGATGAACGAGTGGGTCCTACATAAAATCAAGCCAGAGCTTGCCCTGAAAGCAAAAATGGCAAAACTGAGGCTGTTGTTCTTTGAGCACATCATGGAAAAAAACTAATGTTAGGAAAAGTCAAAGGCAGAAGAAGATGAGGATACCCAAATATGGGATGGAATGCTTCTATAAAGGGATCCACAGCCTTGAGTTTACCAGAGCTGAGTAGGGCTGTCAAGGACGAGACTCTTTGGAGGTCTTTCATCTGTAGGGCTGAACATGACTTGACAGCATGTAACAACAATGATAAAAAATCCAATAAATCACAGTAAAAACCCACTGCAACAGCAGTGTCCTGCTTGAATGAAAAGGCCTGCTTGAACCAAAAGCTCCACAGCCTGGGAACTGCCTTCCAGAAGCCCCTCCTTTGTGTCCCCACCAAGAAGAGCTTTTGCAGGAGATATGAAGTCCTGGGCAAGGTCATATGGAACAAGGAGCTCTTTCAGGTAACTGAGTCCAAAGCCACATAATGCGGTATAGTCATAACCTATCTGACCATTTTGAATTTGGCTCAGAAATTAACTAGATACACAAATGTGAAAGAAATTTCGGGTATAAAAATGAGCTCGTTTTACATTTGTCACATATCTGCCAATAGCGACAGTGGTTTGGTTTCTACAATTTACCAACATTTTACTTTCTGAAAAATCTGGTGACAGTACAGATGGTTTATAGTTTACTCTCATATGGGTAAATGAGGTTGGTGATATTATACAACTGTATAATTTTTCTGTAGCAAAAAAGGTCCCTGAAGTATGTCCCTGCGTGTCATTGAAAATGAAGTGAAAATGACACTTTGAAGTGTCCCCCCGCTAAGCTACAGCATGTTTTTATAAAAGAAATTGTACTGGCGATTCTAGGACAAAGGCTCCTTTTACCATGATGAAGCTCATTGGTGGCCACAGATGTCTGGAAACCAGCTCGAGTTGAGCAGGCACAACCCACAAAACCAGGGGCAACCCCAGGTCCTGAAACTGCCATGTCTGTTTTAGTTGGATATTGGGGCACAAAAGTCGCATAAAGTTCGCATATGGTAACAACCAGCTCATATATTGGAAGATATCCATAAAGAAAAAATTACCAGCAAGTTTGGCATCTTGCCTTGATGGAAAAATCAAGCCAGCAGGCTCACCCTTTGAAGGACTACTCAACTCTGATTCCTTCTACTTAGGTGTGGTATCCTTTTATTTTTCATACTTCGGTAAGAGAACCTCAGACACAGTTCCCCTCTTGACAAACAAACTCGGGAAAGATTCCACCTCATTCTCTCTCGCTCTCTCGCTCTCTCTCTCTCTCACACACACACAAACACGGGCGTACAACACTATAAAATTAGTGGAGAGCCCCATTGAACTTGGTAGGGCTTAATCGCTTTCGATTGGATTACAACACGCGCGCGCCACGCTTGGGCATGAAGAGATTGCGGAGTGCGAGGATTTGCACGGGCCACCTTATAAAACGACCTGTTTTGCAGTCGTTCATGCACATTTATTTAATTCGTCTGATAATCTTGCTATAAGCCTGAGGTGTTTCCTCGTCCTTCCCGGAAACGATATTCTTATATGCACTTGTAGGAAATTTTAAATAAAGAAAAGCTACGAAACTTCCAGCCGCTTTCGAGACTATGTGGCGCTTCTACCTGCGCTCGGAGTCCTAGCCTTACGGTAAAGGCGCCCGCGCAACTGCGGCGCGAGAAGGCCCAAGCATTGCTCGCAATGCGCATGCTCCGCTTGCTCGTGGGTCTTCCACGCTTGACCCAGAGCCTCATGCCTGGCCCGAAGCGCCCCCGGCCGGCCCGCATCGGTACCCACGGGGGGACCTTCCACTGCGATGAAGCGCTCGCGTGCTTCCTCTTGCGGCTGCTTCCCTGCTATCAGGTATTCAGTCTGGATCCGCATTCCCCTTCTCCGCTTAGGTACACTCAGTCCCGTGCGTCTTCACTCCGAAGTAAGCCTTAGCGTGCTCGCGCAGCTCACTCCGGAGATCAGCCTTCCCCCACGTAGTGCCCGCCGTTTGTGACGGCCTGCAACTCCCAGCATTCCTAGCCAGCTTAGGAGCCCGGAACATTTGGGGGTTACCAGGTTGGACTGGGCTGCCGTAGAGAACAAACTGAATTGTTGCAGTCCTGATCTGGATTCGATCAGGAAACCTTTTCAGAAGCCTCTTTAGTAGGGCCTTGGCTTTCCAACTCCTGAGCTGGACGCCTCATCCCTGGGGGTGCTGACCCTACAGCCGCCACGCTGGAGTGCTACGCCGCCACCCCCCCCCCCCACGCCTCATTTATTTATTTAAAACTTTTCTATTCCAAGGTCTCGGGACGGTCTGACAATAAAACCCGAGTGGAGCGCAGCATCTTTTGCATACCCGCTGCTGATGAAAGAGCACCCCACAAGCACGTGCTGCACACAATATTGCTGGCTAAGCGAAACTACCTCGCTCATTTAGGAGTTGCACGAATGCTGGCACGGGCAGTTTTCGCAGACAAAACCACCCAAAGCGACTCACTTTAAGGACTGCTTATTTGTGGATTATTATATTTTTTTGTACAAAAAAGTATTCCTAATGTGACACAGAAGAATTAAAATACCATGCCTGCTGCAGTTGGTGGGTATTGTAGCTAAATGAAAATAAGATTTAGCTGCAAGATTAAATCCCAGCAGCTTTGAGCATTCCTAGATTGCATTCAACATCTCTCCTTATACTGAGTCTTTTGGGGCAGCAGAACAGAAAATGAGTACCTTCTTTTCCGTTTCACTTGCAAGATAGACTTCTCTATTTCCAGGAGTCTTTATTTTGCACTTTTAAAAAGTTCTACACTGAGAATAGTTGTTTATCTTTAACCTGTGTGAATCGTACAAATTTACAAATATTTGTGTTTCTCCTGCCACAGGGTGGGGATGCAGAGGCCCATAATCACTGGACATTTCCCTGCCCTGTTCCGCCCTAGTTTCTGGGATTTCACCACACGTTGACCATATGCCTTCAAAAGCTGTCTTCAGTCATGAGAGCTAGAAACTTGTACTTTTTAAAGCCACATTTCTTCTGATTTCTGTGCCTAAGGCCAGCTTTTATGTTGTTTATGTAAACAAATGTGCTATATATAGTGTTAACACACATGCAAATATATCACAGCTCTTATACAAGGCTAGTTTGCAAGCACTGATCATCTTGGAGTGGTTATGATAATATTCCAGCTTTCCCACCAACCCTGTTTTTCAGCAAAGCACTCTGAAGACTGCAGTTGCTCAAGCCTGTGGCATTTCAGAGGTATTGAAGCCAGCAAGGGGCTTCTTAAATCTTGCAATGGCTATGAGATTTCAGGTTACACAGAAAGCTTCATCATGCAAGCATTCTGTGCTGCCTAATAAACTGCATCCTTGCACCCCAGAGTTTGCCCATGGGAGCACCAGTGCAAAGTTGATCTCTGTCCTCTCGCCTGTTCATTCTTCCCTTTCCTCTGAAACCACCAGTGACTAGCAGGAAAGGAGCATGACCAGAAAACCCCAGGTGGACAGCCGTCAGGTTACATTTTGATTCCCTGCTTGTGTTTGTCTCCCTGCTGTACCTCCAGGATGCAGAGATAATCCGGACGCGGGATCCCCAACTGCTGTCCAGCTGTGATGTGGTGGTGGATGTGGGGGGCGAGTATGACCCTCAGAAGCATCGCTATGACCATCACCAGAGGTACTCCTGAGTCCCTTGCATGTTTCCTCCAGATAGACTGGCAGTGGCAGGGAGGATTCTGCACCTCACCCTTACCAAGAGGTCATAAATCGCTCGGCGGCCCCTCCAGCCTCCTGGCCCTGCTGCCTCTCCTCACCTGCTCTGCAACCCACTTGGGGCCTTGTGCACATCCCACCTTTCCCTTTTAGTCCACCCCAGAGCAAGCATCCTCTTGACAGACTGCAAAAGAATAAAATGAAGGCAATGCAACAGCAGTGTTTACAAGAGTCTAAGACAGAATACTTACTACAGCAAGGGAAAAGGGTGGAGGCAACCAGTCTGGGTACTGTAGGCTGCTGTTGCATTGGGAGACCATGTAGAGGTGACCCTAACTGGGTCTATAATTAGGAAAACTGGCACAGTTTGAATAGATTTTGTGGATTAATATGCCCACTTCTTTTTCCCATTCTGTGCTAACCTTTAACACAATGTTCCACACCCCATTCCTATTACCCACTTTGCTCTTTGCTGTTGCTGTGAGTTGTGAAGTCACGTCTGACCCATTGTGACCCCATCGACAACATTCCTCCAGGCAATCCTGTCCTCCACCATCCCCCGGAGTCCACTTGAGCTCTGGAGTCCACCGAAGCCGACTGCTTCAGTGACTCCATCTAGCCACCTCATCCTCTGCCGTCCCCTTCTTCTTTTGCCATCAGAAGAACTTTGCTCTTTACATTCTTTCTTTATTCATCAGAATGTTTTAATGCCACTCTTCAATTGAAAAAGGCTCCTAGAATAGCTTATAAAGATCAGTAATAAGACAGTCAGGTTTACAATCAAACAGACATGACACAAAAGGAAGAGAGAAGAGAAAGGAAGAGTTAAAAATAAATGGAGGCACTAGTTCTTAATTGTTTTTCTTGTTATTGCTTCTCTGGTTTGCCAGAGTTGTGGTTGGTTTGTTGGTTTGTTTTTATGATTCCACCAGTCAGTGTATAAAATGGAGAATTTCAGAATTTGGCTTCCGAACCACTGGAAATTTTTTGCTTTGAGGCACTTGAACCAGAGTCCTTGCTGGCTTAGAATGTGGTTGTTGGGGAAGCAGAAGCTCTACTCTTCATGGTTTCCCCAGTCCTGCCTTCTTCCTTCAGGTCATTTGGGGAGTCAATGCACAGCCTGAATCCTGAAAAGCCTTGGCAGACCAAGTTGAGCAGTGCAGGACTTGTGTACTTCCACTTCGGCTTCCAGATTCTGGCCAACCAGCTGAGCCTGCCAGAGGATGATCCTGTTGTGCACGTGCTTCACAACAAGGTAAGTGTGTGCTAGAAAGAGGAGGAGACCCTCCCAACATCAAAGTGAAGATGAAGTGAGTAAACTCGCCCTGCACCCCCGTCTTTAACAGCCTTAATTCAGAGGCAGAGAGGCTGTTTGCACATAACAACATCCCACTGCTTAACCCATGGTTAGTTGCTCCATGATGCAGGTAGATCATCTAAAACAATGTGCACTTGGGCAGCCTGTTCCAGCAGACGATTTATTGGTGCAAGAATTTCCTCCCAAAGAGAAGCAGCTATCGGGCACTGCTCAAAGCATGCTTAAAGGGCACTGGCTCCATTGCACTGCCAGCAGATAGCTGAATTAGACAGTCCATTAGTCAAGGGACATTGTGATGTCCAACAGAAAGTTCCTGAATAAAATGCAGCCTAGATGTGAGAAGGTATAGCTGCCAAAGGGGGTGGAACCCAGTTCTCTTATCCATTACTGCTTAATTTAAAGCCTTGGATGTTATATTATTTACCAAGAACCAGCCTTTGCAGCATGGACTGTTAGCCGTTTTGCTTGAGCAGCTTCAGTAAATACTCCTGGACATGATGCTATAAAAGTGGCCAGACCTAGATACTAACAAATCCTGCAGTTCTTCACACGCAGGATAGAAACTGATGACCACTCCTACTGGGAGAAGCACGGCCTTGAGTATTGCAATCCCAAACAACTGAAGGCCAGAAACAGGGTTTTTTATGGTTAACTTTTTATTGTTTTCATTAAAAAGTAGAATATAGAAAAAGAGAAAGGACAGTAAGGGATCTTGTACAAATATTACATATAATATCAAGTTCAAAGAATTTCACAAAAAGCAACAGTTACTTCTTCTACATTCAGTTTAATTAGTGCTTAATTGAAACTCATAGAGCCATTGTTCTAATTTATATTAATAATTTTAATATTAACTTATTTTTGCTTCTTTTAAAATTGATTTTAAACAACAACAAACAAAGCATTTGTGTTAACATAACTCACTAATCATACTTTTACAAGCTTTATTTTCATTGTTAGGTAAATTTACCTAATAAGCTTATGCTTTCCATTTATCATTCTCATCAGCTTGTGGCTCCTCCTCACTGGGCCAGAATCAGTTCTTCAGGCCCTGCTGCGCAACTGAGCCATTCTCTTTCCTCTTCTTCCTCCAGCTGTATGAGAACTTTGTGGAGGAGATTGATGCGATTGACAACGGCATCTCCCAGTGGGATGGGGAGCCCCGCTATGCCATGACCACTAATGTGAGCGCCAGAGTCGGGTACCTGAACCCCCGTTGGAATGACAAGGATCAGGACACTGAGGTAGGAATCTGAGGATCCAGGCAATCTCTTTTACGTGTTTTAAAAGGCATGTGTATCAGCCTCCAGCCATCTTTCCGGAAAAGCTAAAATCATATGTGAAATTAAATCAAAGCATTTTTAAAAAATAAAAGCAGCATTTTAAATAATCAGACTTTAATATACTGGGAGAAGAAGAAAAAATGTTGCTTGATACCAAAAGCATAGTAATGTAGGAGGCACTGGGCATTCTTCGTGGGAAGAGGGTTTCACAAGAAGGGGCCACCCCAAAGAAGGCCTTCTGTCTACGTTTTACGTTAGGTGTTGGGACATCCAGAGCAGAACTTCTAAAGATGACAGAAGTGGTTAATGTGGACGCAGGCTTCCTTTCTTCAGGTACCTGGGCTTTAAGCCAAACTGGGGGCAGACTGGGTATGAGTATGTATAGGGCATGAACTTTGCCCTTTCTCTTGGGAACAGAACTCAACCGACAGGGAAATACTTCTTTGTCTGCAAACAGAAGGGTTCATATTTGCAGCAGTGCTGCTTCTCGCCTGCTTGATGCAAACCTCAGCACAGGAGCCTCGAGGGCTAATGATGGCCAAGAGATAGGCTGTCTGAACTTAGCCAGAAATTTCTGCGGATCCTTCGTTCCCTTTCTTTTGGCACCGTGTTTTCTTTGGCTTGAGCGTCAGTGGGGCTGAAGTATTAAGAGGCCAGTACAGTGCTGGACACTGGCTCCGTGGGGGCCGTGCCTGGGTGTCCCTCTGCAGAAGGATTGCTGACTAGGAAGTGGTTCCTGTAGAAGCAGCTTTTTCTTATCTGCCTAGTAAATCTTGGGAGTTTAAGCATTCAGGCTTGTCTGGAGCAGCGTAGAAAGGAGTTGGCCAGTGCCAGCCTCTCCATTCCCCTTCATGGTCTCTGAGTGTGTAGGCCCAGAGCCCATAGGTACAATTCACAGAAGGCCACTTGAAGAATGGCAGTTGCAGGTCAGCAGCCTGTCTTTCTCCAGATGGGTGGGCAGCTAGGAGAGGCTGCAGGGCAAAGGAAGTCATTGCACTGGGCTGCAGGGTTTGTCTTGTCTTTCCCAGGCTGGCTTCCAGAAGGCCATGGAACTGGTGGGCAATGAATTCTTGGACCGGCTGGATTACTATTACCGTTCCTGGCTGCCTGCACGCACCCTGGTGGAGAAGGCCATCCAGCAGCGCTTTGAGGTACCATCCGTAGCCCCTGCCCCATGTGAGTGATATTGGAGGGGTGGAGAACCCCCAGGCCTCTGGATAGGGACCTTGCTTGCATGACACAGCTGCCCACCATGGCTTCAGTTACCTCCCAGGGCTGTCGCTTCATGACAGGAGCCCACATCTGAGCAGTGCCTTGTGCTGTTGTGAGAACCAGGCAGCAGGGGTTGTTTGTGGCTTAAACAACCCTAGAATAACCCATGGCTTGCTTTAGAATTGTTTGAGGAACAAAGCCTGCTTCCTTGGTACACACAACCCGACAAGCCACAGCTTCTCAAGGTAGCTTAAGTGACAGTGGGCTGTCATGATGCATGAACAGGCCTGTTGCTGGAATGCAGTAGCCATGCTGGCTGGGGATGATGGGAACTTGAGTCTGATGTCAGGTTCACAGACACAGCTTTTGATATTGTTCAAGCTTCTGTTTTCAGTAAATACCACCTTCATCACAAGTTGAAATGTCTCACACAGAAGCAATTCCCGAGCAGGAAACTGAATTCCGCTGGTAGCTTGTGAGGTATGGTGAGTGTGCCTGTAATGGGCCTGCTGCTCACTCTCAGCTGGGGGTCTAGAGATAAAAAGGCAGAGGCCTTGCACAGTCTAATGGTACCCCTTTTGAGGGGCGTGAAGTCTCTTGCAGCAGGAGGGCTGAATGCCTTTTGAGAGAAGCCATCTGTGACCAAAGGCCAAAAGGCATGGCCAGAAAACAAAAATACCAGCATTTTTCTCAAATCGTGTGCTGGTAATCGCCAAGCCTTACTGAAGATGTTTGAACCTTTTAAAGTGGGAAAAACTGTACAGAAGCCAAGAAATCTCCAAACAGTCAGCAGCTGGGAGCAAGGGCCAGGACTAGCAGAAGGGTACGTGGCTAGAGGGGCAAAATTTGCCCTGGGCCTGAATTCTAGCATGCTTGCAGGAGAAGAGTGGATGTCGTGTTTGGCTCTGGCAATAAAGCGCCATAATAAATCAGAGCCAATCATCCTGCCTGGTCCTGGAAGCCATCAAGTTGGTGTACTTGGTGACCGTGATCGTCTGCGACCCTTTCCTCGGCAGGTCGACCCCAGTGGTGAGATTCTGGTCTTTGGCCAGGGCGGTTGCCCATGGAAGGAGCACCTGTTTAGCCTTGAGCAAGAATTGGATGTGAAGACGCCTCTCAAATTCGTCTTGTACACAGACCTGGCTGGCCAGTGGCGGGTTCAGAGTGTCCCAGCTGGGCTGCACACCTTCCAGAACCGGTGAGCAGGGTCCTCACTTGTTCTTTACTTGGCATCCTTTCTCTCGGGTGTTGGGGTCGGGGAGAAAGTTTTGAAATCCCATGGCTCTGGAAGGCCCCAGATACCCTTCTCTCCTGCAGCATCCATGTTTACAATCTTAAAAGCAACCAGTGGTGCTTTAAAGGCTATCGAACTGATTGCTGTCCGAGACCAGTGCCTACCCCAGTAGGTACATAGCCTCCCACATGGGCAGCTGACATAGGCTGTGGCCCCTGAAGAGTCTTTTGGGGTGCTGTAAGAGTGCCCATTATTCTTTGCTGCCCTCCTGGCAGCTCAGGTCATGCTCAGTAGCCATTAAATACCTATGAGTTACCTTGGGCCGTCTTTGCATGCGGAGATGATCATCAGAGCCAGCTGACCAGATTGAAGGAGCATTGATTATCTCACCTTTTCATCCCTCTACGTTTCCTCCGGCCAGTCGCTTTGGCTTCCCCCATCCCACAGCCTTTCCTCCCCACCCCACAATGACAGGAAAAGCATCTGGGGGAGTTACAGAGCAGCAAAAGGGTCCAGATTAGTTCATTTTCAAAGTAATTTCGACCCTTTGGGTCCTCTGCAATAGCTATGGAAAAGGAGACAGAAATACCTCCAAACAGCTGCTTTTTATGCTTTTTTCTCATTCAGTTTTTTAAAGGGGAAGGGGCCGCAGCCTGTAGATTGCATGTTGCCCACCCCTGCTTTAAGGTCCTCCAGGGATGCAAGATGATGCTTCCTGCCCCTCCCTCCGGTCACATTTGGCTTTCTTTCCCCGCCCCTCCACAGACTGTCACTTCTCGAGGAGTGGCAGGGTTTACGTGATGAGGAGCTCTCCAAGGTCAGCGGGATCCCCGGCTGCATCTTCGTACACGCCAGTGGCTTCATCGGGGGGAACAAGACTAAGGAGGGTGCGCTGGAAATGGCACGCAAGACGTTGGCTCGGCAGATGGAAAGCAGCTAGATGCCACCCCGTGGGACTTGTGGAGTTACTTTTTCAGTGGGTTGTTTCGAAAGCAGCAAAATCACCCTGTTCGTGTATGTCTGTGTCTGAGAGGAAATGTTGGATGGAGAGCCGGAGCTGGTTCCGCAAAGCTGTGCTGGGGCGTGGATCCAGGACTGGCCTTCCTCAGGAGGGAAGGATTTGTCTGTGGAAGGTCCCCCCCGCATCTGAACACACACGTTTGTTTAACCAGGATGGGTTTATCAATGGATGCAAAGAAAAGAGCCTTGCAGTAGAACAAATAAAAAGAGCAAAGTACTGGTTTCCAATTTAAGCTGCTTGCCTTGGAAGCTTGAGTTTCAAGCCCCATTGTGCTGTGACCACAACCATGCTGCCTTGAGCTGATGGGCATAGTAGTACAAAAGAGCTGGAAGGGCACTGAGGTGGGAAAGGCCAGGAACAACAGGCACCTGACCTCGGATCATCCGTTTCTTGGTGGCTGTAAAAGGCCCACGGTGTAAGGCAGCAGTTTTGAGCCCGGCACATCCCTCCACTGTTGGCAGGAGATGCAGAGTGAGGTCCAGGGGACATGGCTTCAGTCTACAGAAGACCTGGCTTTACACTTTCAGGAAACTAGGCTGAGAGACTGGCACAAATGCATAACCTGCTTTAGAGAGGGTCCAATATACCAGAGGTCAGCTAACTGGTGTCCTCTGGATTTTTGGACTCCTATTCCCATCAGCCCCAGCCAGCACAGGCTGTAATTAGGTGATAGGGGAGTTGCAGTCCCATCTGGAGGGGACCAGGTTGCCCTTCCCTGATCTAGATGATGTACATTTCGTGCTAGGAATAGAAATCACAATGTGATTCATTTGCGGGGCAGATGAGCGCCCTTCAGATGTGCTAGATTTCATTCCACATCATCCCCAACCCAGTGGCCATGGGGTTACTGGTGAGGGTGATAGGAGGTGTATCAAACATTTCTGTAAGAAGCTAGGCTGAAAATGTGAGAGTTAGAAACAGAAACAGAGCAAGTCAGTCGGGGTCTCCTGGGCCATCTAGTCTGACCCCTGGCTCCAGCTGGCTCCGCTCATGACATGCCTACTCCTGGCCCTGTTTTTCACGCCATGAAGATATTCTGCAATTACACCCCATCCCCCAGTTCATACATCTGCTTACCCCCCCCCATCAGATTACCCTGGATTATTGTTTTCAGATAATTTCAGCCTTATTTGGGGCCAAGAATTTTCTTAAAGAGCTTTAAGGGTGGTACATTTAAATGTAAAGTTCCACACAAAACCAGCCTGGGGAGGTGAAGCATTTGCAGCTGTTCACTGGGAGAAATGGGCAGGTTTTCCACGCCACTGCAGTGTCTCTTGCTGTTGGGGTAATTTTGCTATTCCTGTACTGAGCCGCTGGATGGGAACAGCTTGCCCAGCAGGGCAGTCTGCACAGCACACTTCAGGCTCCTGTTTCCTGCAGCCCCAGCCAGCTTGGTCAATCAGTGGGGAGGAAGATGGGTATTACAGTCTGACAACATCTGGAGGGCCACGCCTTTGAGAGGCAGTGAGGTGTGGTTTGAGTAGGGGCCCAAGAGAGCCAGGTTCTAGGTCCCGCTCAGCCGTGTAGCTTGCTGGGTGAGGCTAAACTACCTCGTAGGGTTCTTGTGAAGGTAAAATGGGGCTATGTACGCTGCCTTGGTTTCTTCAAGGTGAGACAGAAATGCAATGCAGTAATAACAGCAATATGAGCCAGAGCTCATAAGTTCTTTATTAAGAAAACAGAAGTGCACTTTCATCCAAAAACAAGTTCCCCGGGCACAGTAAAAAAATAATTTCTATTGTAAAACAAGATTAAAAATTAAAACAGCCTGACAAAACTGACAGACAATAAGAAAACTCCTCAACCAGCAAAAAGAAGCTGTATCCAATGTTAGTAATAAATGTCCCTTTTATTTCCATGGATCTGCCCTAAGTAGGACCAATGCTGGATGTACCCAGTCCAACTAAAACTTTCAACCTGGAGCTGAGGAGAAGCCAACTATAATACAGGAACTAGTCATAGGACTTCTGCGATGATGTTCCATTGTCGGGGTGCCACCACAAAAAAGCTCCTCCCCTTCATTGATGCATGCTGCACCTCTTCCACCACCTTTGAGATGGGCTTCCTCTGATGATTCTGATGCAGTGGTGGCACCCTGATTCTTACCTCTGGCACCTCTAGTTGACCTGATCTTGGCTAGCATAGCTGGACTTACTGGGATTGATCAAGCCCAGTACCTGTAGCAGGGCTGGTCCTGATGTTTCCTGCATCCAGCTGAGGAGTTTTGCTGCACAGTTTTGTCTGCCATTCCCTTGAAAAGTTCATGCCATCCACATCTCACCCTTTGCTCCACCTTGCTCACCTGCAGGGCTTCAGCTTTGGCTCTGGACTGCTTTGTGGCAGTGGTTGCCGCTGTTAGTAAAGGCACCGGCCATTGGGTGGCCAGGTGACCTGCCATACAGGGGGCAGTCCTCAACTGAAAGGCTGTGCTGATTAAAGACAAAAACCCGAAGAAGAGAGGGAGCAAGGAAAAGCCTCGAAGTTTCCCATCACCCTGTATTGTCATATTTAGAACCTGCCTTTTTCCTCGTGAGGAAGCCAAGGCAGATCACATAGTTCTCCACTCCATTTTATCCTCACAGCAATCTTGCGAGGTGGGTTAAGCCGAGAGAGCGCCTCACAGCCATGTGGGGCTCGACCCCGGACGCCTGGGTCCCCAGCCACTTCGACCAGCCCGCCCCGCCCCCGTGGGGCACCAGCCAGCAGCCTTAGCGGGGCGTAGCCTTCCACCCCTAGGAGCAAGTGCGCGGTTTCTACTTCAATTATAGCTATTACTCCGAAGCAGCTCTACACCAAAATTAACGCGTGCCGGTTTTGCCCATCGCTGCACTCTCCCCCCGAGGGGCGGCGCCACTTCCACGCCGCAGAGCCGAGCCGCCCAGACGTGCCCCGGCCCCCCTCGCGCAGCCCGGCAGGGGCAGCCGCCCCGCCCCGCCCCGCCCCGCCCCCCTCCCGCAGCGCGCGGCTGCTTCTGCATCACACACCGCCCGCTAATGGGCAGCGGCGGGGAGACTGCAGGGCAGGACGCCCGCGCGAAGGGGACCCCGAGGATGGCGGCTTCTGCCTTTGTTCAACGGCGGGACGTGCCGCCGCGACGGCCCCGTGAGCTGCGCAGCCTGCCCTGACCCGCACGACGAGACTGCCCGGCGGAGCGCAGGTGTGCAGGTGTGTTTGCTGCGGCGGGAACGGCAGGTGGGGAAGACTCCGGTGAGGCGGCGAGCCGCCCCTGGTGTTTGACTCCTGTGCCTTGAGTGCCCCTTTCTCTGGAAGCCGCTTCTCTGGCGGTTGAACCTACTTGGGATTCATTGGCGTGGTTGGGGACGGGGTGAGACTCGCCAGGGGAGGAAACACGACCCTTTCTCCCTCCTGGGCACCGAGGGCCACCTGAAAACTTGGCAACCTGAACTGGTCCTTCATCAGGTAACTCGGCACAGTGATGCAAGTGAGTACAACTAGCGCGCTCTGTAAGGTTCCTGGGCAATCCCTTTCTGGGAAGAGGTGACCAAGCAAACGAACGCAGTCCGGAATTACCTCTAGGACAGCCAGCTGCTAAAGTGGATCAGCTCCTGAACTTCCTGTAGTCACACAGAAGAGAGAATTGCAGCACACAGACTGTGCCTCTTCTGTGCAACTATGAAAAAGTTCAGGAATCCCATCCCCTTGTGCATCTGGCCATCTTATTTTCATCACTTCAGGTGCAGTCCTCTATACAGTTCCTTGGGAGTTAGCGCCATTGAACTCAATGGGACTTATGTTTCAGTAGGAATGCATAGAACCGCACAGTTGCAGCATACACCTATGCAGATTTACTTTGAAATCTGTTCAATGGAACTTACCCCCAGGAAGGTGTGCATTGGATTGCACCTGTCCTACTCCCATCACCCGGATGCTTCTTAGGGGATAGAAGATGCAGACCCCTTGAAAGCCCAGGGAGAGGAGGACAAGATTAAAATAGGTCCATATGCTGCTGAAAGATTAAATTGGATTTAAAAAAAAATCCACCTCTTTTGGAGGCCTATGTATTATAAATGATACATATGCAACTCAGAAAGGCATGGCCAGACTTTCAGCACCTGTTCTTCTTTCTTTCTTCTTTCCAGCCAAATGCCAGGGCCATCTACCCCAGTATCACTGCCTCTGCTCTCAGCCCAAAAAGCATCTTTCCCATCAATTTGTCCTTCTAACTGGAGGTGCCAGGAAATGAAAATGGGACTTGCTGCTTGCAGTTACATGTTTCCTGCTACTGACTTACGTAGAATTGGATGGACAGGTGTAACTGAACGCCAGTAATCTTCAAATGGTGCTTTAGGAACAGTAGTTTGCTAGCACTGTTATGCGAAATCACCCACACCCACACATGCAATCAGCACAAATGATTCTAAGCCGAGAAGAGGAATCCTGCTAAAACTCTGCATGATTTGTTGTTATTTTGCCTTCCAATCAAGCTCAGTTGGGGCAGAATCCTTTCCTTTTAATATAATTCTTGCAGGCTATATAGCTGCTGAGACCCATGGTTGTTGCTGTTGCCACTGCTGCATCTTCTGCAAGCATTTTGTGCATCGTGCTTCTCATAAGATTTACCTCCCAAATAACTTTGATGTCTCCCTTGCTCCCCTAATAACTGGCAATTTCTTTTTAAAAAACCAGTATCCCCCTGCATCCAGCTCATTTCTCTCTACACACTCCTGAATTTGAGATGGTTTGAAAAAATCCAAAAGCAGTGCCATGAAATATAGCAGAAGATAAGACAGGCTGCTGTATGCAGATCAGAAGAAAAGAATGCACATTTTGGGAAGACTTAATCCTGTGCCCGCTTTGCTTGGAAGAAAGCTCTGCTGAACTCAATGACACTTTCAATACATGAATAGATATGTATAGGATTGTGAAAAGAACAAGCACATGACTACATGCACAGCTGTGTGTGCTGCAGCCTTTGGCTATGGAAGTATCAGAGGTGAGGAAATGTAGAGTAGGAGAAGCAAAATATTTAGAAGAGTTAGTTCTGATCACCCAGATAGAGTGTGGCAGGGAACCACGTTTAGTCCTAGGACCAAATTCAGTTCTAGAGGAACTCTTGGGGCCCACACTACATTGGTGGGTGGACCAAAGGCAGTGGGGGCAAAACATCTGGATTGTTAACCCAAAGCTTGTACTGTTTCTAAGCCACAGCAGAGATATTTCTACCTTGCGGAAGAGGGGAAAGCTGCCAAGAAAGGCAAGAAACCCTCAAATTATCCATGGTGGAGGGGAGGTGGCAGGACCAGGGGAAGGGGCCATGGCCACCTAGGGCAGCCAGAAGATTCCTGCTGCTGACCAACAGGATAAGAGACTGGCTAAGGGCAAGGGCAGGAGGTGAGTGAAAGCTGCTTGAGTGACCCGTGTGGTTTTGCGGGTAGAGCATTAGCCTGGGGACACGGGCGATCTGGGTTCTCATTGGGTGACTTTGCAGCAGTCCTTCCCTCTCGGCCCAACCTATCTGACAAGGCTGTTGTGAGAATAGAGTGGATGAGATTGGAAGCCACTTTGGTTTTCTCACAAAAAGAATTATAGCATAGTAGATTTGGAAGGGGCCATGAAGGCCACCAGGTCCAACCCCCTGCTTTTGGTGAGATACAGATGCAAAGAAATACTAACAATCCATTGAAAGGCCAGGAGTGGACTACAAACCACAACAGGATCATGCATTATGTGGGGTATGCAGACCATTCCAGGGTTCTAGGGCTATTGACACGATCGCTTCCAAGCGTCCTCTCCCACCTGGCAGAGCCCATTCATCTCCTTGGTATACACCTGAATTACGGGAGATGAAGCAGGTTGGGAGACGTCTAGAGCATAGGTGGAGGAGATCACGGGGTGATTCTGACCAAACACACTTAAGAGCCCATTATCGGGCCTATGCTGTGGCGGTGAGGGCGGCGAAAAAGAAATTCTTCTCCGTTTCCATTGCCTCCTCACAATGCCGTCCGGCGGAGCTCTTTCGGGTGGTGCAGGGGCTGGTACATCCGGGCCCAAAGAAAGATCTTGTGCCACCCTCGAAGGCCTACTGTGACAACTTTGCCAAGCATTTCAGGGAGAAAATCACTCAGATTTGCTCCTATCTCAACGGCCGTTTTCAGAAGGTGGTGCTGGGGGACTATGGCTCTGCGCCATGGCAGTTATGCCATGGAATTCCGCAGGGGTCCATTTTGTCGCCTTTGCTATTTAACAGCTACATGAAACTGCTGGGAGAGGTCATCAGGAGGTGTGGGCTGTGGACTCATCAGTACGCTGATGATACCCAGCTCTACCTCTCGTTTTCCACCAATCCAGGTGAGGCAGTGGCTGTGCTGAACCGGTGCCTGGCCGAGGTAATGGGCTGGATGAGGGCCAATAAACTGAAGCTCAATCCAGACAAGACCGAGGTCCTGTTGGTGGGTGGCTCAGGCCTCGGGATGGGGGACTTGGGCCTTGTCCTAAATGGGGTTGCACTCCCTCTGAGGGACAGGGTTCGCAGCTTAGGAGTGCTCCTCGACCCTGAGCTGTCTTTAGAAGCTCAGGTGACGGTGGTGGTGAGGAGTGCCTTCCTTCAGCTTCGGGTGATCCATCAGCTGCAACCCTTCCTGGAGAACGACTGCCTGGCGACAGTGGCAAACGCGTTGGTAACTTCTTGATTAGATTTCTGTAATGTGCTCTACATGGGGCTACCCTTGAAGACGGTCTGGATACTTCAATTGGTGCAAAATAGAGCTGCCAGGTTGCTGACGGGGACTGGGCATTGTTCTCATTTAACCCCAGTTCTCCGTCAGCTCCACTGGCTCCCGATTGAAGTTCGGGCCCAATTCAAGGTGTTGGTTATGACCTATAAAGCCCTAAACGGCTTGGGACCTGGATATCTAAAGGAACACTTGCACCCATATATGCCCTCCCGCCCCTTGAGATCAGCAATGGATGCCCTTCTCCGGGAACCCTCTGTGAATGATATTAGGTGGGTGAGTACCCAGAGGAGGGCTTTCTCTGCAGTGGCGCCCCATCTATGGAATGCGCTCCCCAGAGAGGGCTGCCTGGCGCCGCCGTCATTTGTTTTTTGGCGCTAGGCTAAGACCTTCTTATTTAAAACTTATTTTAATTGTTGAATTATTTTAATCAATAGGATTTTAAATTTTTAGCCGAGAATGCACCGGGGGTTTTTAAACAATTTTTAAAAATTTGTTGTATTGTTATTATTTATGTATTTATGTATCCTTTGTGAGCCGCCTCGAGGCTTTGTTGCGATGGGGGCGGCATAGAAATGTTTTAAATAAATAAATAAATGTTAGAAGAAGCCATTCCAAATTACTGGCATGGAAGTACTATTAAAAGCAGCCCATGAAATGCTCTAGTGGGCCTTTGTTACCGTCATTTGCCCCTCTCCCTTGCTTTTCAGTTGTTTCTCAGCCAGACTCTCCGTGTCTCTTGTCTGAGAAAGGGAAGGACGATGCAGAGATGCTGCCCTTGACCTCCCTCTTGGTTCTGATCCTTGGCCTACATAGCGGCCTCCTGTGCCCCCAAAGCTGTGACTGCCCCCCAGGCAGTGGTGTGGTGTGGTGCAACAGGCGAGACCTGGTGAGGATCCCTTTGGACATTCCTCACGACACCCGGGTCCTTTATCTAGACTCCAACTGGATCACTCACGTGCCCAACGGTGCCTTCCACGGCTTGAGGCAGCTCCGGGAGCTTCACCTGGCCGACAATCTCATTGAGAGCATTGCCCCCGGAGCCTTCCGTGGCCTGGGCGGGGGGCTGAGGCTGCTGGACCTTTCGGGAAACCAGCTGCAGAGGATGGAGCTTGCGCCGTTCGTCATGCTGACCTGGGTGCGACTGGAGCTCTACGACAACCCCTGGCACTGTGACTGCTCCCTGCAGGAGCTGCTGGAAGCCCTCCCACTGGACGCGGAGAGCGTGGAGGACATCGTGTGCTCTTCCGCCACGTGGGAGGAGTATGTGGGCAAGACTCTGGCCCATCTGCTCCACTCGGGCATCAACTTCTGCCTCAGCCAGCAGAGGAACACGGACTTGGCCATGCTGCTCACCATGTTCTGCTGGTTCGCCGTGGTCATCACATACGTCATCTACTACGTCCGGCGCAACCAAGCAGAGTCCCGGCGCCACTTGGAGTATCTCAAATCCCTGCCATTGCCCAGCAAGCAACCCAGCCCTGAGGAGGAGCTGGAAGAAGGTGACACGCTCAGCACCATCCTCTGATGGCTGGATCTGCCCAATGGTTTTGAGGTGGGGAAATGCACAACGAGTGTTTAAACTGTGTGGGCAGCAAATCTTCAGAGTATTTCACCATGACTTCTTTAAACTCTAATAGCTTCTCCCTTCAGAGGAACCAAAGGATTGCAGGGTTTGTGAAAAAAAAATTGAGAATCCTGGGATGAGGACCCCATCCCTGCACAAAATTACAGTTTCCAGAGTTCCTTGGGAAGAAGCATGTCCCAGTATCAGCTGCTGCTGTAGCAGGACCATGAGGCAGGGTGAGGTGGAGTTGGGAGGACCAAGCTGTCTGTGTACACCTGTCTGTGCACACAGCTGTCTGTAAAGCCCCCCTGTGCTTTCCAAGGGGCAGAGGGTGCTGCCTCATTTCCAGGACCATTTGGTAGAACATCCGCTGTGGGGAGGACTAAAATGATAGTAAACAATACCTACACGAACAAACAAAACCCAAACAGCCAGATATTTTTCTTCTATTGATTCACATTCCCACTTACTGCTGGACACACCAACCCCTTGCACTAATTTCTGCTCTAAAGATCTGCCTTGGCTTCTTTACATGGCAGCATTTTCTAAATTCACAGGTGGGCAAATATAAGCCTGGGAAATCTGTATTCCACTCCCAAGCTCATCAGGAAACACATTTAATTGGGAACCTGCAAAAACACCCCCTCAGAAAAACTCCAAAGTTAAAGGAGCCACACCCTCAAAATACTTTAACCTCACCATCATAGTCTACATTTCCAAATTTTAAAAATAAGAACCCGCTGCTTGGAGTTATTTGTGGAGATTTTTTTTTTTGAATGGCAAACCACACCTCCTCTTTTGGGGTCCCCCAAGCATTGCTCAGACTTTTCCTGTCAGTGGATGCTTTCGTCCACTTCCCACCCTAGCCAACAATGCCCCTCTCTGATTGCCCATCCAGTGGCCGCCATTTTGAATTTCAAAATCCTACAGGAGTGAGTGACAGCGAGGGCTGCCATCTTTCTTCCGATCTGGGCTCCAAGTGACTTCAGGAGCAGCACATGAGACAAAAAAGCTGCAGCTGCAGTTCTCCCTGTCCTGCCTCCCCTTGAAAATGGCCCTTGCACCTTGATGCATAACCACCCTACAACTAGTACTGATAAGGGGCCTGCCTGTGGCCCATCATCCATGGCACCTCTCCTTTGTGGTGTGCAGCCATTGGTGCAAGATGGCTTGTCATGATAAGAGGCTGCGGGGCATCCCTCTGTCAGACTGGGTCTCCTCTTGCAGGGAGGCCTCCCATTTCTCTCTTCCCGTTTGTCAGGGATTTAGGCAGAGCTATTACAACTTAATGCTAGAGGATTAACAATGAAAACAATAATAAATTCCAGTCCCTTAATCCCGTCTTTTTGCCAGGGGCATTTCTGCCCCATCTGCTCAACTCCAGCCACTTTCCCTTGAGTTACCCAGCCTGGCTCCTTCCTGTTGTCTGCATTGCGTCAGGGTGCGTAACCCGCAGCCCTTGTCTGGATCTCCAGAGCCCTCTCCAAGCCCTCGATATGGAGCACACCCAAAGCCCGGCCGTCCCTGCCCTGGCAGCCCACAGGATGGGGAAAGAGAGGGAGAGAGCAAAAGGCATGGAGGAAGGAAAAGGACAAGAAATGGCAGGGCGATGAAGAAAAGGAAAAAAGAGCCGGACGGAGGAAGAGCAATGGGGGAAAGTGGGTGGCCCTTTGACTCGGGCCTTGGATTGCCTTGCCCACAGCCTCAAACAAAAGAGGTTTGCAGTAAAAAAAATGAGTGCTCTTTGGAAGTGCAGCCCAGCTAGGGGAAACATGGCAGGGTAAAGTTACCTCTGATGACAAGTGTTCAGAGGTGATGGCTCCCTTCCACAAATCAGCCCAGAAGTGCTATCAGCCCTCACGATTGTTACGCTTGCGAGGGCAGACTGAAATTCTGGCCAATGAGTTGCTGGCCCTTGCTCTGCCATCATGGGTTTATTAGCATTTAAGGGAGTTGCCAATGCAAAAGCACCTGGCCTGTTCCTCTGCTTTGTGAGCAGGAGCTCTGGGCCCAGGGCAGGACACGACCCTGCACTCCCTCTGCCCATTCTCTATGGAGCACACGGCTCACAAGGGCACAGCAACAGGGATCAAGCTGGCTCTTACTGTGGACGCACGAGGCCAGCGTTCTGTGGAGCTATCCAGAGCCATGGGGAGGCTTGCGCACGGGGTGCCAAATCACTGTAAGGGCTGCAAGTGAGTTACTCCTGCTCAGGCGTATGCGATAAAACTAGGCCTAGAGCAAAAGTCTTGCAAGATACAATGTGGGGAGGAGAGTTTATTTGGATGACTGGGTATTTTAAATGTCACCTCTTCTAAAGAGAGTTCTAAAAAGTTGCTGTCCTTCATGAGTCTTTGGGGAAAGTGAAAGCAGGGGGTAGAATAAAGTGAATGAAACCCAATAATGTAAGACTTGGCACTTCCTTCCAAATGTGCTTTTAGTGATCGTGGATGAAAGGCAGAGACTTCAATTTAGCTCCTCAGATTTCATCATTTCTGCTTATTGCCAAGGACTGCTGCCCAAGCTATTGTAGTTGGTCAAGCGTCTGAAGTCATTTAACAGGATCTTTTGTACTATTAAAACATGCAGGCTTTCCTTCTGTCCTCTGCAAGGCAAAGATTGTCTCATTCCCTGCCGTTTTATCTTAAAACTGTTCCATTTTGTAAGCACCATGCTTAGAGAGGACATCTTTTATCATCATGTGGCTGTGGGCCAATGGCAATTGTTAGGACTGTACCATAATGTGCTAGATTAAAAAAAAAAAGGGACAGGCACCTGGCCAGGGCTGCAATCCTATGTTCTACCAAGTGGTAACTCCCACTGAGAATGTCACCCATTTCTAGCTACATATGCATAGAATGAGGCAGTGAAAACCAGTGTGATGTAGTGGTTAAGAGCATGGGACAGGGACTCGGATGATCTGGGTTCTAGTCCCCGTTCAGCCATGGAGCCAACTGGGTGACTTTGGGCCAGTCAGGCAGCCCAACCTACCTCACAGGGTTGTTGTTGTGGGGATAGAATTGAGAACAGGAGAAATGTAAATTGCTTTGAGTTCTTTTTTAAAAAGAAAAAAGTGGGATATAAATCTAATAAATAGGAAACTATCCAACAGATGTGGTTGTCTCATTCCACCAGAACATGTGGAAAGCGTGCCTGCTGTAAATAAAATTATATGCATCTTCACACCATTCCTCATGTTATAATCCTAATATATTTCCCCTTCCAAACTGGCTAGCCATTTTGGCAGAAGCAAATCTGTGCTCCACCAGATTGCAATGTACTTCCTGCACTGGGCCATCTCTCAGCTGCCCTAGAGAGAATACTCTGGCAAAGCTTTCTGATCCCATGTTTTCCACTTCCCTAAACTCTTCTGGAGTGACATGGACATGTGGTCTTCACACAGTCTCAAATATTTCTGAATTAAATGAAGAGAACGAATGCCTGATATTTTCCTATTCAGATTAGATATTTCATCAAATACAGATGGCATGTGGCTTGCAGCTTAACTGTACAAGTCAGAAACTTGTTTTTCTTTTCCATCTAAGATAAATGTCAAGAATGCCAGGATGCTGTAGTGGCACTGGGAAAGAGCTGAGTCTGTAGACCTACAATGGGAACGCAAGAAGATACTGCTGGGAGTTTTCTCCCCTCCAACAAGGTGAAGGGGCAGATATCACCTGCCTCCCACTCCTTCCCCACCACCTCTGTTCCTACCAGCTATGCACCATCTGCATTCCAGGATAACAACACCTGGCCTTTATTTAGCAAGGCAGGGAGCCGCCTTCTACAGAGACAAGCCATGGACCTGCCTGGCCCAGTACTGCTGGCAGCAAAGGGACTCAGGCATTTCATGCAGGCATTTTCCCAAGCCCTACCTAGAGGTGCAGGGGACTGAAGATCCTTCTGCATTGCAACCTCTGAGCCCCTCACCTCTCCTTTCACACCAGCATAAAGAAAAAGGCAAACAGTGGCAAGGCTTCTATTTCTAGCGGCATGAAATTTACAGAGCGGCACAGTGGTTTGTGAAAGTTCCAGAACAGGCAGCAAGTGGAAATGGGCTTTCTTTGCCCTCTGACAAACGTGGCTCTTGATTACAAAAAACTCCAAACTGGTTCTGTTTGTAGAAGCAGAAGCTTTGAGAATGCATCAACAGGCACAGGAAAAGAAAAAACAGCAGGCAGAAATAAGGCATTCATCCTTTGTCTCTCTTATTTTCTGCCTCAGACATAACCACAACATTGTCCCTCTCAGATGGCAGGCATTCCTCAGAAGACTACCTGTGGACAGGTAGGCAGCAGGCCTTGTGATCCATGCCAAGCTGCATCTGACAAAAGATGTTCTTCTAAATGTTGGACTGCCCTGTCAGTCGAGACCTCTGGTGGTTTTGGGATGCAGAACTGGCGGGGAAGTCGGAGCCGTTCTGAGGGCAAGCCCAGTGCGTGCTGACCTTCACAGTTCTGAAAAGAGTGGCTGGTCCCGGGCACTGCTTCTGCCGCCCAAGGGCACAAGAGGACTCTGCCCAGGGCTAAAAGAGGGGAACTGGGCAGTCACGAAGAAGAAAGGTATGTGGCTGATGGTTCCAGTTGACCAGCACTGAGGAGAGAAATAAAAAATGCAGTGTGAGAAGAGGGGTCCCCTTCCAGTCCATCAAGCAGGCTGATTCAATCATACAGCTTAGGCTGAACTTCAGCCTGGCCTTCCCCAATCTGGAACCCTCCAGCTTGCTGGGTCAGAATCCCCATCATTCCCAGTCAATATGGCCAGTGCTCCCATTAGCCAGAAATGGTCGGGGTTGTCTGGAGAGCACCAGGTTGGAGAAGGCTGTTTAGCCAACTCCAGCAGCAGGACAGGGCGGGCTTCTATCATTGGTAAAGGTGTCTAAAAGTGGCACGTTCTTGCTCGTTTGCATCATTTAACAGCCTTAGGATGACTGCAAGGATCCTGCCCTCCTGGCTGTGTCTCTGAATTGTCCATGTTACACATTTCTCAAGCGGTTCTTTGCAGTACTTCTTTCCAAACTTGTTCCCAGAATGCTAGCATGCCATGAGAGAACTTGCCTAGTTAGCTGCAACAAATAATGATGCTCCAAAAAATCAACATACCAAATAAATAAAAACAAATAGAGGAAGCTGCTGCTGGGCTTTTTTGTTAACTGCTGCTCTGGGACTGCCTCCATCCTATCTGTTGTCTTGGGGTGCAGAGCAAACGCCAGGATTCCCTTGCTCTCAAAAGCAACGGATTCATTCAACCACATCCAATGGATGGATGCCACAAAATGACCTATTCTTGAAGGAGTACGCTTGTTGCATCTCTGTATGAGTCACTGCTTTGGGCTTCGTTCCTCCACTATGACCTCCTTTGAGAGGAGCAATGTCCCTTCCAGACTAATTCTAAGCTTTTTCAGTGGTAATAGTGAAGTATGACTCCTGCTTCATTTCAGGAGAATAATACATGCCACTGTTACCAGAGGTTTGGGAAACATTGCCGTAAGGGCTCGAAATGTGATTTTAACTTACAAACTAGATTCTTAGCTTGCTGATTTCTGCACTTAGTCCAGGACAAAATCATGAACTATAAAACAGTGTCTGAGATACCACCCCCCGTCCCACCCATCTGAATAGTACAATCCATGCAATCCAGAGCACGGTATGCTTAATCAGAACAGTCTCCTGTTCTGGATCTCCCATGCAAACAAGCCAAGCTCCACATAACTGGGAAACAACCCAGTCTGTCCGGGGGAAAACATCCAATCCCAAATATGGTGACTGGTTAAAGTCCCAATTGTGAGCAAAATTCATCCCTTGCCTTTTTTTTTACCATGGACCTCTTCGTGCCGACAGCAGAATCCTGCCCCCTCCCCACTAATCTGAACAGTGATCCAAGTGGGCCACCAGCCTCAGACCACTTGTCCCCCTTCCGCCCAAAGTGAGGTCCGGCCCACCAAAGCTCTGAAGCGCTAACACTTAAAGTGTGATTTCTGAGGAAGGCTGCCAGTAAGTTCTTCTTTCGCTCAGTTCTACTGGTCCATGTCTGGCTAAATCCCTTTAGGCACAGCTTAGACAAGCGAGCAGCTGCTGGGGCTGCTTTCGCCCAGGCCAGTACGATGCCTCTGCATAAGCCACTCCTCTGCCTTCGAAGGCTGAACTCACCACTGTCAGGAGGGCCCCTTTCTGAAAGCAAGGGTGGAAAGCCACCAGCTGGGGCTGTGTACCATCTTCACCCTGCAAGAAACCACTGAAGGAGGGGGGAGGGGAGGGGAGGGGAGGAGAGAGGGGAGACCATTATTGCATGGGGCACCTGCAGGCTTTTGCTGGAGCTGGTCTCGGAGCCTGCACCGGTCAGCCTTCCCCACTGCACCAGCCATGCCAGATGCTGAGTTAAGACAAGTCCACTGGTTCACCCATACAGTAGGAACTCCATTCTGCGTGCATCCCAATTGTAAAGACAGGCACCACATCCTACTTTCCTTAGAAACACATTAAGTCTTGGGCTTAACCCCTTAGTCTACCCCCCTGTCCCCTGAAACCCAAACAAGACTAAGCATGAGCAACTGCATTTGGACATATTCATCCCTTGCTGGCCTCTGCCCAGGGTGATCTTGGGCCAACCCATTTTGAACACTCAGATCCTCCTTTTCCAAAGATCTGAAGTCCTCAGGAAGCATCCTAGAGCCTTCTGTTTATAAACACCTAGTCAGAAATGGAAAACACTACACATGCTAACGGCATAATAATGCCATCACTCCTGAGAAGACCTTAAAACCATCAGAAAGCTGAAAGATGCTGGATCCCAGTGTGTGTGCAAGGAAATGTATAGGCAACACAAGCAGAAGTGCACTCAGCAGCCTGAGGTGGGACGGGATACGAAGTTTAAAATGTTTTTTAATCTGTGGCCCAATCTAATCAGGGACTGCTTTTAATTCAAATACCTTTAGGGTGCAATCCTACGGGGTCCACAAGAAAGGATAATGAGATCCTCGCCCCACACACACGAGGGACGTCTGCCTGCGCAGCTCTTCCCAGGAGGCAGCAGAACATGCCCACTGCTGTGACTGCCAGCAGGGAGGGCCCTGAGGGGCTTTCTGGCAGGGGTAGAGGGGCACCTTGCAGTCAGACCAAAACATCTTCATTCCCAGGACACACCTCGGACTGGGGCAGATGACACCAGCTACCAGGTTGAATTTCCCTCCCGTTGCTGATAATGGTATGGTTATTACTTGGAGGAAGAAAAATAGCGAAAGAACTCAACAAAGGGCTGCAGTCTTCAAGTAATGTAACACTTACTCATAAGCAGGGTTATGTGTACAGTTGCTGAATCCTGTAGGTATGTAATTGCTTTATGCGGAGTCTTTCTTATGGTTTAGTGTCTTCTCTGGCTAACAGCTGATCTTCAAGGTCTCTGGAGATGCCAGAGACCGGATCCAAAACCTTTCCGGTGCTCTTCCATTGAGTTTTATGGCATTGCATAGAGAATTTAGCAATCTAAAAATCTCAGTGCTTGAATTTTAATATAGTGCACTGCTTAGGTGCACTCACTCACCCACTCAGTCACTCACTGTGTGTGTGTGTGTGTGTGTGTGTGTGTGTGTGTGTGTGTCAGGCTCAGTATGATTATTGGTGCCCAGGACCCATCAGTGCCAGTCATTGCTGCTTTTCCAAATAATGCAGAAGAGCAAATCTGGTTCAGCTTTGCTTAATCTACATAATTTATAGCAACAATGTTTGTAGTTTGATATAGAGCTTTCCTATTTTTCTTAAATGCAGTTAATACAAAAGTGGTGTCTCTATTTATTTGTGTATTTATTATATTTATACCTTCTTCCCTGCAAGGAACCCAAGGCATAACCTGCCTCTCCATTTTATCTTCCCAACAACCCTCTGAGGTAGGTTATACTCAGAGCCAGCAACTGCCCCAAAGTCACACAGTGAACTTCATGGCCAAGTGAGGAAGTGAACCTGGTTCTCTCAAGTCCCGATCCAACACTCTCACCATTATGCTGCCAGGGCTCTCAGCACTATGGTACTTTCATAGGAGGGAGCGCTCTGCATGTCTTACCGATCTTCACAAAGACGCCTAGTAATGGGCTGAGGGACAGAAGGCACACACTAGGTCTCCAACGCAGGAAGTGGCATTCCCCTCCCACATGTTCACCCTCGTGCGCAATCAGCCCAACACAATTTCACTGCATGTACCCCTGGAACATCTCATGATGAAGACATGCAGAAAAACAAATAGGAAGGCTTCACACCCAACCATGAATGCTGCTGCTGGGAGATTTGTCTTTCCTATGTGGGACAGCCTTGTGCAAGTCCCATTCCATTTTATGGCTGGGGGAACAGAACTGTGAAGTCCCCTCACCCAATCACGCTTTCCTACTACTGAGCTGTAAGGGGCCTGTAGCACCTGGGAGGGATGTGGTCCATCTGCAGAAAACCTCAGATTCAGCCCCTGGCATTTCCAGGGAAAGCCAGAAAGGGAGACCAGGCATCCGGTAATGGGGGAAACCTCTGCCGGAAACCCTGCAAAGCCACTGCCAGGCCAGACAGAAGAATCCTGAGCTAAAGGGACAGTCGCCTGACCAGAGCCATGCTGTGAACATGTTCGCCCCTGCAGAACAAGGGCTAGGAGGATGCAAGGCTGGGGGGATCATCTCCAGTTTCAGATCAAACCACCAAAATGTGTCAATACAAACCATGGCAAGAGTTCAAACACAGGGCTGTTGCGGGTCCGAAACACGGCGATGATGGCCCTTCTGCTGGATTCATCACGGCCTCCTACCAGAAGGAAAATGAAATGTAAGGGAATGTGGAGATGCACACGAAGAGCCTGCTCTTGCAAGCCTGGGCCTTCAGGGCCATGATGGGAGGCTGAACCATGTGCTTTGGAAACCAGGTGGGACCTCTGGAGACGGCTAGGGCAGAAGGCTCTCCGGGCAAGGCTTCAGCACCTCAGGCATATTTGCACCTTTGCGGCCTGGCAGATCTTCCAACAACGAGCTCCCTAGCAGGTGCGGGGATTCTGGAGGATCCCGCTTCCCTGTAACGGCCTGGCTCAAACCTGTTGAGCATCAGAGACGGCAAGCCAGCAGACCAGTGCTCTGCAATTACCATGTCAGAAGGAACACCGCAGCTGCCGCTTTACAAAGGGCACATCAACTGGAAAGCAGCAGCATCCTTCATCAAATATGGAGCCGAAGGAAGCAGTCCGCCTGCCGACAAATTGCTGGGCTTTTTAAGGATACCAGAGCCTGTGTTTATTTGTCTGCCTGTCTGTTTCCATTAGTGGGAAATGCAAGAAGCAATTTTAGCTTGGGATTAAAGATTTAGTAGATCAACTGATGCTCATGTGATGAGATATTGTCGCTCTCATTCCTGTGGAGACTGCTTATACATTGGAGGGGAGCCATCTTTTTACTGAAATTTACCCTGCAAATGCGTTTGCTCTTGGGTCACAGCAGGGCAAGGCCTGAGCTAGGGGAATCAGCTGGGTCAGCAGTCCCACCATGCACCTTCACCAGGAACTATGAGGTTGGCTTTTCCGGCACCACTGGATGCACACTTACTTGGGAACAAGCCCCAGTGAACACTGCGGGGCCGTGCATTGAAGGAAACATGCAAAGAATCGCACTGCTAATTCAGAGAAGTCCTGCTGGATTTGGAATCTCATGGTAGGAATGTTGAATCAAGATGCAGCCTGAGCTTCCCCCTTTTGCCCTCTCTCTGAAGCTCCAGCTTTAGAAGGAATCACGGACTGTTTTAAAATGCAGATTAGTGTTATTTTAAGCATTGTAAGTACAAGCCATTTCATGCTCTTTGACTGATGCGTGGTGTGCCTGTCCCGTCTTCAGGAGGACAGGGTGAAACAAAGGGCTGTGTCACCATTTGGAGCGGGGTAGGCATGTGCAAAGTGCAATATGCGCACAGACTCTGTCAAGTGAGAAGTGTGGATTTTTTCAGCCTTGTTCTTTTTTCAAATATACATGAGCAGAACTTTTCCCAACGGCGGCTTTCTATTTTAAGAGCTACACACAGAAGAGTGCACATGCATGACCTTCTCACTGGGTGAGGCATGCGTGCATTTTCAGTATGCATGCTCAAATATGGCAGCAAAAAGAATAGTAAAATGGGCCCTCATATAGTTGGAATCAGCTGGGCTGAGAGGAAGCAAAAGGAAGATCACCACGAAGCTTTGCTCCTTAGCCCAGTCTAAATAACTGTGTTGAAAATATGACTACTTGGCACGTAAATAAATTTAAATTCTGCATAAAGAAAAATTAATTTTGATGTTCCCTTTTGGCTGCAAAATTCATCAGGCTAGTGTACATTATGCCATGTTTCATTCATCATTTATTCCACTGAACATGAAACAGATCACAAAGGTTTATCTCACTTCGTAGCCAGACTGTTTTGCATGTTCGGTCCCCATTATGACATTAGGCAGCACTCCAACATGTTCAGACTTAATGCTAAGTTAATCAGTGAGGTGCAGCAGTTAATGGCAGTGGATCAGGGCTGGGAAGACCCAGGTTCAAATCCCCGCTCAGTCATGAAGCTCACAAGCTGACCTTGAACCAGTTATTTAATTTAAAATTATTTCTAGGTTGTCTTTAAGAATATAACCCTCCCAGTTCATTCCATCTCACAGGGCTGTTGCAACGATGGAAAAAAAGTGGGAAAAATCATGCACTCCTCACTGAGGTCCTTATGATGCAACAGATAGAAACACAGAAGCAAAAAAGAGGGAATATCTTAAAACAGTAGTAATAAATCCTATGAATTTTATAAAAAACATGTCCTGATAAAAACATAACATATTCAACTTATTTTGTTGAGGCCTTCTTCAAGGATATAGGAATATAATTTTTCTGTGCAGGAATGATGTTTCCAAAATAAAAGATTTTTTCTTATGGAGAAAGCTATTCTGGGACTCCTGACATTTTTTTTTCTTTTATGTACCTAATGCTGATTCCCCTTTTTAGTTATCAGTATAAATTTAAAAAAGCAAAGCTAACTAGCAAGAAACATGTGCTCATGGCATTCTTTACTCCTTAAAACACATGCAAAGACCAAGTAGAAAGGACCAGACTGCTGATCACGTGCTTTCAGAAAGTGGGCAAGTACAAACAAGAATGACACTGGTGTGCTGCATGGAAAACACACACATCATCTCCCCCAGACTGATCAGATTTTTGAAGGTACACAATTTTACCTCTGATGACAACTGCAAGCCTCTCACCACTTGGGTCCCAAACCATGGACTGTACTTCCCCTCCAATCCTGGAGCACAGGGATAAAATGAAATTAAAATCAACAAAGGTGAAGCCAAGAAAGGCCCAAAGAAAGAGATCCACGTGCAAACTTCAGCCATGATGGGAAGGGAAGGGCTGGGATCCAGAACAGAATGGAATGCCAATGATCACCTCCTTAGTAATTATAGTTGCATGGCAGGAATAGCACAGAACTTGAACATTGCTTATTAAGGCTACATATTTTAAAGATATGGATAAACATAACAAAAATGCAAAAATAGACCTAGTTTAATGCCAGGGTTGTGTATATTCTGCTGTGGGTACAGTTTGTGAAACTCAGCAGTTTCGGGGAGATAATGGCTGTACGGTATGTTCTGGCAGCAAGCCTCTGGGGAGTTAGACTAGATAAATTAGGCAGTAGGTTCCCCAACATGGCGTACAACATGGTTAGATTACTGTAATGTGCTCTACGTGGGGCTGCCCTTGAAAACTGTCTGGATACTTCAGCTGGTACAGAACAGAGCTGCCAGGCTGCTGACGGGGACCGGTCGTTATTCTCATATAACGCCGGTCCTCTACCAGCTACACTGGCTTCCAGTTGAAGTCCGGGTCCAATTCAAGGTGCTGGTTTTAACCTATAAAGCCCTGAATGGCTTGGGACCGGGATACCTGAAGGAGCGCCATGCCCTCACGCCCCTTAAGATCTGCGGGCTCTGCTCTGCTCTGGGAACCCTCTTTAAAGGAGATAAAAAGATCATCTACCTCGAGCAGGGCCTTCTCTGTGGTGGCGCCCAGATTATGGAATGTGCTCCCTGGAGAGGTGTGCCTGGTGCCAAGTTTATATTATTTTCAGTGCCAGGTTGAAACCTTTTTATTTAATTGCCATTTAAAAAACTAATATTTTATTGTTGAACAGTCGCTCTCTCTGTTTTCGATTTTTTGTCTTTTTGTAATCTTTTATTGAATTTGTTATTTATAAAGATCATTTTATTGTTTTTAATTGTATGGTGAGCCATCCTGACATGCCAAGGCATGTGTTGATGGCATACGGAAGTTTTAAATAAATAAATTTGCCAGATGTTTGGGCATAAGCCACCGTCAACCAACTCTTATCAGCATAGCCAATTGTAAGGACTGTAGGAGATGCAATGCAAAAGACCCACAGGGCGCCCAGCTGGGAAAGGCTGGGCTAGACGCTGCGTGGGAAGTGCCTGGCAGAACTTCACAAGCCAGGTGGAAGCTGAGTAGGATTTCCAGCAGTGAGATGGGGAAGGCTACGTCAGGACTGGGCAATGTAAGCACAAAAACAAACATTTAAAAGCAATAAATAAGCATTTTAAGCACTTCACATGGATAATCCCAAGGGTTTTTTTTTTTTAAAGCACGAGAGCTTTGGTGAGGGCTTATTCTGCTTATAACAGGAAGCGGGATGGGACTTGAAGCCTCCTGACCACTGGAAATCCTGCCGGGGAAGCGCCCCAACCCCAACTGCTCCCTTAGGAGAGTCCACCAATCAGCATATCCATATTTCCAAGACTACCCCTGCAACTCCAAGCAGCACCCAACACCTGCTTCTGCACTTGTGCAGCATTCCTGTGGAATCCAGGCACATGCATGGCTTCATCTATAGTCCCTTTCTTTTACCTTTCCTCCCCATACAGAGTCTCGAATGTGGTCTCCGACAAATCCGCCACGATGGAAGCCGTTTTTGATCCACCGACCTGCCCTTGCTGTTCACCTGAAAAACAGGAGGATGAAGGCGTCTTTCCAAGGGAAACCAAGTGACAGGAGAATGGCAGAAGCACGTTTTAAAACACAGAATCTGCTAGTAAGCACAGGATGAGCGGCTCTTCTGTGTGGCAGGACAGGGCACAAAAAGCAAGGTCCGAAATCTGAGAGAGATGCCTCTGTAATAAGTACTAGGAAAGGAGGGCATTACAGCTGCAAGCAACTTTCTCAGATCAATGGCTGCATCCAGCTCCCCGTCAGCCACAGTGCTTACCAAATCGTGCAAGGGTCATTCTCCCCCACCATCACAGCCCCCACACGGTGAGAACAAGAAAACACCACACACACTGGCCCGGGCTTCCCTGATAAAGGGCAAGCCATGAACAGGGAAACCAGCAAGCAAGACCTGTCTTGTGGCAGAGCACTGATGGCTGCGAGGGAGCAGAAACTCACACAGCTCAGACCTCAACGACTCATTAATAATCCCAGACGAAAGTGCTGGCCATAAGAGTGCAGAGAACTCTGGATGGGGCCCAGTGATGGCCAGGCAAGGCACAATGAGGAATATTCTATCCAGACTTCTGCCTGGGATAATGCAGGAAAGGCAAGGGTGCCAGGGAGGGGGGCAGAGAGCAATAATTTACATAAAAAGGAACCTGTGGGGTAGGGAAGTAATCCACCCCTCAGTGTGATTTTCTTCATGTACTATTTGATATTTTTTAAAAAAATACTTATATACGAGTTCTCATTTTAAAAGTCTTAAAGCCATTGGCAGCTATTAAAGCATTCTGAAAGCTCAACATTTGGGCAGGTTAATGTTTGGGAAAAGCAATAAGCCAACAGATTTTAATCATTGGTGAAAGCCAATGGTTGGTGGTACTTAGTGTATCACAGAGGGGAGATCATTCCAAAGGGAGGGTGCCACCACTGAGAAGGCCTGTTGCCATGCTGCTGCCAGGTGGGACTCTGCAGGATGTGGCATGAACAACAAGGCCTCCCTGAAGAGTGTAGCAGTCTAGCAGGCCTTTAGGAAAAAACGAAATCTGCGCCCACCTGAGTATACCTGCCCTTTTACACCCTCAGTGTACTGCTTAACCCAGAGAAGGCAGGGCATGTGACTCCAGAATCCTCTTACACTGCATAGAGCACCCAGGGAGGGCAGAGGCAAAGTGCTCATGGCAGCACTGCTGGTATTTGGAACCCAGCAATGCCCAATTTCTACACCCTTTGCAGTTGGCCCTGGCACATTATTAACCTGCAGAATCCTTCAGACTTCAGGCAGTATGCCAAAGCAGACCATATCTTGCCACTAAGTGGTTTAATGCAATGAGCTGCACAGTATACCAGGATAGAAAGGAAATCACACCATCACTAGACAGTATTTTGCTGAGAGAGGTTCTATACAGATCCTATAGAAAATGCTTACAAAGCCAACATTTTTCAGATGTAGGGCGTGGCTTTCTTGGCATTTCCCAAGAAGTTCTTTTCAGCAGAAGTCATCTTGTTCCCCACCTATTTCCTAGCACTAATGACAAGCTGCAAGACTGCACTTGCCAATGCGACGCCTGTCCCTCTCAAAAACTGAATTCTACAGCCAACGCAGCTTTGGGTCCATTTAGTTATTTTGTACAATGTCTTCTGCCAGTGGAATGTTACACAAGGTCAGTCAAATGGTGTAAAAGGTTTAGAAGCTACACAGGGCACCAAAGCCAACCCCTGGGCAGCAGAAAATTTGTTTAGCACTGTATGATCACCTGCACTTTAAAAAAGGGGCATACTACCACAGCCTTAGGGGCCGGATCTTACTTCATTTTTAAAAGGCCAAAGGAAAGAAATCTGGGCACAAAACCACTGCCTGCCTCTCCAGAATCCACAAGGCCTTACTATTCTCACCAGATGTACTCACCACTGTATTCCAAGAAGGACAAGGAGTATATCACTGATTCCCCTTGGACTGTGAAGAGCAAGCGGCTACCGTCTGGACTCCAGCAGCCAGTCTTGGGTCGGGAGGGGGAAGAACATGGGAGAGACACAGGTGGGAGAACATTAAGTGCAGGCAAAACAAAGGGTCTGGAATCTTGAGCTACAGACGCTCCCTGACGTCCAAGACATTCTGTGCCAAGTTGTGCAGATGGGAGCATGTCCGGATAGGCACAGTTAGGGAGGGAGGGCTCCATAAAGGAAAACATGAGAACCGATGATGGGGCAGAGAAATCGGACGAAGTGAGGCTCCGATGAGACATGGGCTCTGAAGGGAACCCATGTGGTTGGGTGAATAAGAGAGGGACCCACACCTACATTTTTAAAAGAACTCAGCAAAGCCACTGGGCAGGCCTCATGAAACCACACAGTCCCACAACCCGTTACTGTACCCTCCAGGCAAAGAGTTAGCAGATTCATCCTAAGAGGGAACAAGATCAATGACTGGAAGCTACCCTGTTTGCCATTAATAGGACAGCCTAACAATCGAAAGAAAGAGACCTACAAGAAAGTAGTAGAAATTCGAGGAGGAGGAGGACTGGATTGCATCTGCTTTTTCCCTTATCAACACGTTCTCCTTGCCCACTTCCCAACCTTTCTGCTTGATGCTCACCAACATACCTGGCAGGCGCCTTTGATAGTTGGCCACTTCTCACAAGTCCACATTTGAACCTCCCATACTCTGCAAACAGAAGCACAAGCACAGATAGGCAAGCTATTTTTTAAAAATTACATTCCTGCACCACCCAACAGCTGAAGCTCTCTGGGCAGTCATAAAGAAAAACATACAAGGATTGATTAATAAATAACATTTCTATGCCGCGCCCATTGCCGAAGCCTCGGGGCGGCTCACAAACAACAAACAATCAGGCATAAGATGATATTAAAAATTCGGAGTTTCTTGGCAAATATAAAACCATTAAATAAAACCAGTTAACAATTAAAATGTCATTTAAATAAAAAGGTCTTGGCCTGGCACCGAAAACCAAATAGCGATGGCGCCAGGTGGACCTCTCTGGGGAGTGCATTCCATAGGTGGGGTGCCACCGCAGAGAAGGCCCTCCTCCGGGTACTCACCCTCCTAATATCTTTCACAGAGGGTTCCTGGAGAACGACCTCTGCTGCCGATCTCAAGGGGCGGGAGGGCATATATGGATGCAAGCGTTCCTTTAGATAACCAGGTCCCAAGCCGTTGAGGGCTTTATAGGTGATAACCAACACCTTGAATTGGGCCCGGACTTCAATGGGGAGCCAGTGAAGCTGACGGAGAACTGGAGTCATGTGAACACAACGCCCAGTCCCCGTCAGCAGCCTGGCAGCTCTGTTTTGAACCAATTGAAGTATCCGGACCGTCTTCAAGGGTAGCCCCACGTAGAGCGCGTTACAGAAATCTAATCGGGAAGTAGATTTAAAAGTAGCAAAACATATATTAAACCAAGGAAAATTGCTTTGGGTGCAGATCAAAGGAAATGACAGAAATTCAGTCTTTTCCAGAGTGATCTGCCATCTGGCCAGTGCCATAAAAGGCAGAGAGCTGACTGGAGACTGCGGGCTATCAGGCCTTTCTACTCACCGGAAGACTGCTGAAGGCGTAGCTGCTAGCACTTTGCTGCCATCGGGTGACCAGGCTAGGTAAGTCACCCCACCTCCTCCTAACCACTGCAACTGGATGCAGTTTTCTGTGGAGACATCCCACACCTGGCATGGACAGGGCAAAAGAGGGGAATTTGTTTTTGGAGGAAAACACAGCCTCCCTCTGGCACCTTGTGTGACAGGCAGCCAAGAGCCAAAAAGGAACCTCATTTTAGGCTGCTGCAGGAATGGTACCTGGGAACACGCCTGGCCACAAGTGTATTTCGTGACTGCTGGCAGGAAAAGTCTTCTCGCCCTTTTGCACAGAGGTCACCGTGATCCCATCTCATCGTGCATGCTGCCTGCCACAGCTTCCGCGCTATCCCTCCATCATCACGCACCACAACAGCACAAACCGTGCCTGGTACTCACAAGCATGGCAGTGTCAACAGGCGAGGCCGACAGGAGCAATCCTCCGCTGGGAGCCCAGGCCAGACTGGTGATGGGGCTGTGGCCAGGGTGGCTGAGCACCTGGGCACAGCCAGACGAAGGTCTGCAGGGACAGGAGAGTAAGAGGATTCCATCCCTCCAGGAACAGGAGATGTGGAAGCACAGAAGCAAGCAAGACAGGTCTTGGGGCATTCTGAGCACCTGAGAGGGCATCTAGATTCACCACTGGAGGAGGCTGGCTTCCAGCACGTACACATGCGCAACCCTCCAGTGGAGAAGCAGGAGAGAGCTGGACTATTACGCCGATCACTTCTGACCATTGGCTGTGCTAGCTGGGGATGATGAGAGCTGAAGTAGAAAAAATCTGGTGGATGCTAGTTTGCCCAGTAAAATAATCAGGAGCCCAGCCCTTCTAAGAGCCAGGAGGGGTGCCGGCATCACATCCTTCCCCAACGGGTAGCAGAAGTTGAGTGTTATACAAAAAGGACTCATGTGTACTTGCTTGCTTGCACAACTGAATCTGCTAACAAATGTTGGGGGTACAGTCTACATGCATCTCTAGGGGAAGGAAAGGAGGAGGTGAGAAAAAAGAAACTGGGAAGGGACGAAAGTCTAACTTTAAAAAATTACAGTGCAAGGAAGAGCTAAGCAGTGGAGGGGGGAAGAACAGCTCCCTTCAGTCTCGGGCATCAGAAATCTGCCAGCTGCTTCCTTGAGGCCCAGATGGAGAGACAGTGTGGTGTAGTGGTTAAGAGCATGGGACTGGGACCCAGGCGATCTGGGTTCTAATCCTTGCTCAGTCATGGAGCCAACTGGGTGACTTGGGGCCAGTCACAGACTTTCAGCCCAAGCTACCTCACAGGGTTGTTGTTCTGGGGATAAGTTTGAGAGGAAAAGGAGAATTATGTAAGGAAAAAGGTGGGATATAAATATAATAAATAAAACTGTGACAATGATCACAGCTCCGTGGCCCCCCATCACCGAGCTAACTGCAGGTGGGCCTACAACAGCTGGCTGGTCACCTGGTGGAAAGGGAAGTGGGGTCCAGATGCCAAACCAACACACAACTGTGGCACGCCACAGCAAGGATGGATGCGCACAGCGGCTTCCAGGCTAGCGACGCCACGTTCCTCTGCAAGCGATGCTTCAGGATTGGGACTGTGGCGCTGGAAAAGAAACAGCAGGCAGAGGTAGCCAAACCGGCAGAAATCTTCCCCAGTAGGAGAGCAGCACCAGAGCACAGATTGGTAACTGGCAATTTGCTCACAGCCTTCCTGCAAGTTTCATAAACTGGGACTTTGTTGCAAGATTCACCCTTGCCGTTCTAGTTAGCAGTGCAATGGCATCTATGCGATTCTCAGTTCGTCCTGAGCAGCAATGCCAAGGAGAATTGAGCAACTTCTAGCATCATGCAGAACACAGGTCCGTGTTCCTCTGGCAAGCCATGACCTACTTCTGGTGGTTTACTAAAAACCCAGGGCTGGCCAGGACCCCTGCAAAGAATGCTGGGTTTAGATGGTTCTTGCCTTGATCTGATCCCCAGGCACGTTGTTAGTTCTTAAACAAAAGCTCAGGTTCAGGATCAGTTTACAAAGATACATTATGCACAGCTGCTACAGGAACCAAAGCATGCAGACTTAGCATCATAAATTCCAAAACTTGTGGGTGGGCTAAGGGGAGCCTAGGTGAAGTCAGCCCACCCTGGTTACAGAATACCTGCCTCGAAGGACTTTGAAGCACGTTTCTTTCCGCCTTGATTTCAGGGTTGGGTCAGCCATTCAAGGCATCTTCCCCAAGGTCCAACCCATTGCCTCAGGAAGGCTTAAAATGACTAAAGTTTGCAAACTGATGCTATAGACTGATGTGATGCGATGGACGGAGAGCTAAAGCTTCTGGGCTGTGCACAGCAGCCTTTCCCAATCTGGCGCCCTCCAGCTGCATCAGATGACAGCTCCCAGCATTCCTGATCATTGGACACGAGGGATAGGCCTGAGTTGGTCCAAAACACCCAGATGGCTCCAGGGTGAGGAAGGCTGGTGTACAGCAGGCACTGCTAAAAGTTGCTGCCTGTGAGCAAGTGAATGGGTCTGGTGTGTCCTTGAGCGCTCAGCTCAAGTCTGTGCAGGGAAGCCAGGCCCTTACCTGTTTGAATTGTAAACACGAATGGAGTCATCCAGCAGGGCCACGGCAAATTTGCTCGTGTGGGGATGCCAGGCAAAGGCTCGGATGGAGCAGCCTGCCCTGGAGAGTCAAGGCAGAGAAGAGAAGGGAGTGTTAGGCACGCCTCATGCACAATGGGAGCTAAAATGCAGAAGAAAGCCAAATTTGGGGTAGGTGAGTTAAAGTACACATTTCAGAAAAAGCAAGCGCAAAGTGAGTGCCCCTGAAAAAGCTCCCACAAACCCCCTTGCATTCACAATCAGGATGGCTACACACTGTTGAGGAGGAGGTTCCTTCCCAACCAACATTTTAATACATACTTACGGTGGATTCCAGTTTGTGTTGGGGACTAAGCATACAGAACCAATGGGTTGTACAGGCTACATGATTATAATAATCAACAGCATTAGCATCATTATCACCATATTACATTTCTGAGATGCATCCCCTTCCCCAAAATGAGACTCAGCATGACTTCAAGTAGAATTAAAACCCACAACACTTTAAAAATTTTGTATTTTTATATTGCACTGTGAGCTGCCCAGAGAGCTTCTGCCTATGGGGCAGCATACAAATGCAATAGATAGATCAATCAATCAATCAATCAATCAACAGAATATAGCAACTATCCGTAAAATTCAACTACCCCATAAAATGTCAGTAACAACCATAAACACTGTAACTGAATTCAGCACAGAACAGCTGGTGATATGCCACCCACTGACCGGGAGTAAAAATTCTGTGGAAAAGTGCAATTTTTTATGGGGAAAGGGAAAGAAGTCAGTGAGTTTGCAATTGGATGCTATGAAGGATTCTTGCAGGGGTGACCTGGGAATGAGCAGCCTGTGCCCTAGCGCCTGGGTTCGAGGGAGAAGGCAGAGGCTTCCCTTCTGCGCACAAGATGCCTACTGCGTGCAGCGGCAGAGCAAGCCCAGCTTCCCCTCCCCAGCACAAGCTGTGAGTTTCTGAGGGGCGGTGGGGTGGTCCCTGCCCCTGCCCGTCAACCCCAAGCTTAGGGCTGCAAAAGAGAGAAGATTTTTCACCAGGCTTCATGCAGTGTTTGGGATGGAAAACCAGGTCAAGAACAACACCTGGCTAGTTCTGGACAAGAAACAATGCTCTGATTTTGGGTAGGCCAATAAGGCCTGCCAACATTTGTCAGCCTCTGCCTAGATCCTATAGAACAAAGCATTACATGTGTGGCAAGAACCATAAACATATAGAACTCACCAATCCATGGCCTGGGAGAACTTTGATATCATGTCTTCACTTTGCAGCTTTGGAGGAAGGACAGATGGAGACAGAATCAGTGCTGTGACAGCAGCCGCTCATAATGTGACCAAGTTTTAAAACAGGCATATTACCCCAAAAGATATGCAGAAAACAGACTAGAATTACAATGGGAAATGCTGGAAATGTAAAGAGGTAGATGAGACTTTTTTCCATATGTGGTGGATGAATGACAGAATTAGAAGATTTTGGAAGCAGATACATGAGGAAATGCCAAAAACATTTAAAATTGACTTTCCTATGAGTGCTAAAAACACTCATTCATACTGAATGAACTGAGTATCATACCAAATACCCATCCAAAGATTATACTAGACTTATTTAAATATATGATTGCAGTGGCAAAAGTAACAATTGCTTCCAAGTGGAAGACTGAAGGCTGTCCAGCTGGTGAAGACTGGAAAGACAGGCAGAGTATGCTACAATCATGAAACTAACCAATTACGTTAACAGAAGACCTGTTAAAGAATTTACTGAAAAATGGAAACCTTATTATGAGCAATTGAACTAATGCTAATGAAAACAGAATCTTTAAAAATATTGTCAGTGATTCTTATTCTAATACTAAAGCTATGATAGGATTCACAATTAGTTTCATAAACTAGATTAATCTGCATGAGAATTCTGATCAAGAACTGAATGACTTAAATGTAACCATAGACAGAAATTTTCACTTTTTCATGAACTTGTTAGATACTGAAACTATATGCCATATTTGAGGAATATCCCCTGTATCCTCTTTTCTATACTTTCCTCCTTTCTTTCTAATGTATTTCATGAAAATAAATCAATAATTTAAAGAACAAGTTTTAAAACTGAATCGAAAGCAAGCCATGCCCTGAATACAGCCTTGAAGGATGGGCCATTGTCCAATCTGTGAACGCATAGGAAAAGGTTGCCTTCATTTTTAAAGAAAACTGCCACAGCTTAGTCCGTTTGGACTGTTTCACTCTTGCCACCCTCTTGCCACCGGCCACCCTTTTCTTCCTGTTCTGCTCAGGCCTACTTTGCACAAGCCTTACCGACAAATGGGGAAAGAAGGAGCCATGGAGAGAGGAAAGCCAACAGCAAAATGCTAATGTATAACGGGATCCAGTTTTCATCCACCGAAGGGCTGAGAAGCAACAAAAAAGATACCATGGTGAACACACTGTCAACTATCTTCATGGAGAAGAAGCTTCCATGTTCATGCGAGATTCCTTTGACAAAGGTCTCCACACAGAAGATGTTGCAATCTTGTTCCTAGGTTCAGGGAGCCTGGTCTGTGTCAGGAGCACAGCTCCTGTTCTGTGCAGCAGCATGGCTTCTGTTCAGCTTCAGAGCTGTCTTAGCAGGGAAGATTTGAACCAGCAGTCGAAGAGGCAGGGTGTCTCAGGACAGGCTCCAGGAAAGGGTTGCAAGAGCAAGTGGAAAGCGGGGAAAGGTCATGAGCCATAAACAGGAAACACCTTTGCGGTGAGAAGCTAAAGAAAGGCAGATCTCCAGGTGCAGAACTATTTGGAAAGCTACCTAGCTCCTTCATAGAGTCCGCCAAAGATTGCTCATTCATTCCCTGGTCCATGTCTCCTTCCTCCTCTGCATTTGCAAGCTCTTCAAGCACTCCAGCCACTCCAACATCACGCCTACGGGCAGAGAACCACACGACATCTCTTGAACATCCAAGGGAGGGCTGTGAGTATTCTGTCTTCAGCACACAAGCTAATCACGGGCAAAGATACTTGCTATGTGAGCTCAAAACCTGGGATTTGGCTTCAGGTCTGGTTGGTTTGCCCCGAAGCATCTCTCTGAGCCTTTTGCAGTTGAGCTCCAAGGCTCAGAGAAGCTAGGGCTGAGGCTGCTTGGCTGATACCAGTCAAAGGGCTGGAGCACACACAGTTCCTCTACGAGGTCAATTACAAGATTAATCTCCCACCCTCACCCCAATTCGACTGACACAAAGACAGTGGTGTCTTTTGGAATCACAGGACACATCAGTGTGCTGCTAAACGAGATGGCCCACCTGGGCAACAAACCTATGAAGGGTGAAATGCTCCACAGGACTGCTGCCACAGACACTGCCAACCCCTTTCCATACAAATTGGACAGGAATATATGGGGCTAAATGACACATGAAACTGGCAGAGCTGTGTGTTTAAAGATAGTCTGAATCCCACTGAAAGAGGTGCATGAGCCCAAATGCATATACCGTTTTCTAAACACTTGCAGCAGATCTGTGGATTTACAGATCTTTCACTTGGCAGAAATGTGTGCATGCATTATTTAATAACAAAAAACAGCTTACTCCCCTACACAGTCTGCCCCATGTCTCCAGGGGTTATTTTCCCTGCAACCAAGCTCCAAAACTGGACATGAACTTGGCTCAGAGAGAAATGCTGGAAAGAGGAGCTGAGAAGAGATAAGCATCCAGAGGGGGCAGCTTCTGAGTGCTTCACCAACAAGGCCCCACTGAGTGCTTCACCAACAACTGACCCTCTCCACCAGCCAAAATGCACACACCATTTTCCTACATACTTGGGGCAGGTCTATGGTATTAAAAACACAGATCTGTAACCTGGAAGATGCACACTCACCAAGCATTGATGCACCTCTTCCAAAGAGACTCAGAATGATGAATGAAGGCCGGCTTGGAGGCATGTTCCAGTCGGCTGTGAGCTTTCAGGCTGTCTTTGCGGATGGTCAAGACAGGCAGGTCCTCCAGCTGCATCCAGACAATCAAGAGTGAATGAAAAGCCTTGACCCAAACTGCTTGAACAAAAAAGTACTGAGAGAGACAGAGAACCGGCCAAAGCAAAGTTTTGGAGCAGCACAATAGGCAGGAGCTTGCTAAACCATTCTGCTAGGCCACAAGTACAGACTGGAATTCAAGACTGCAGAATTCAGAATCTGACAGTATCACCTAACAGGAACACCAGCAACAATGACAACAACCACCAAACACTTCTTCCTTCAAGCTACAAAAACAGACTTTGTGAAATGGTTAAGAAAAGTACTAAGCTTCATACTCTGCATAGGTCCTTGCTTCTGCCTCTCCACATGACTAAGAGGAATAGAACAAATGACGCAAACTAGACAGGTCACAGAATCCAGGTTTTCTTGGGGCCAAACTTATTATTTTTATAAGAAAACACATGTTAACATATATTATTATTACTCCATTTCTATACTGCCCCATAGTCAAAGATCTGTGGGTGGTTTAGCTCTCTGGACAGCTTATATATTCACTTACTATACCCTCATGTTTCCTCCATCTTAATTCTTTTAAAAACCTTTCTCTGGCTAAATGCTTCATTTTGAATTTCATACTTATGCAGGAAAGAGCATGTGATTAGCCACAGAGGCCTTGGGTAGGAATAATCAAACAGATTCAGAACAAATAGTAGTTCAACTGCAGCTCCCAGACAACATTTAGAACTCTGAAGCTGGCTCTTTGAACTTTCTGTTCTCTCCCAGTCAGTCCTACTCAAAATATTTAATTCCGCTCAACAGAGATAAAGCCTTGGTCCTCCAGAGGCAGGTGACCAGCCTATTCTTTTGTTTTTCTAACTGACAGAAAAAATCAGTCCACCTTTTGCCCCTTGCCTTCCAGTTTCCCCTAATGAAAATATTGCTAAGTATGAACTAGAATACCTACTGCAACCCCTCTCAATCTGATGCTCTGCAGATATTTTGGACTTCCAATGCCCATCAGCATGGTCAGTGGTCAGGAATGCTGAGATTGTAACCCGACATCTGGAGGGCATCTCAGACAGATCCAACTCTCTCAAGGTTGCCTTCTTCCTGTTGTTAAAAATTGTTCCTTACCTGTCCTTGAAAAGAAAGTGGGAGCTTCTCATAGCTGCGACCAGAAACCAGGGCATTGTTAAATTCATAAAGGGTGATGTCTCCTGGAGGCGGTGGGGGTGGGAAGAGCGCTAGGGAACACATCCTCCTGGAGGTCCAGGAAGAAGCAGAGCTGAAGGAAAGAGTGAGTTTATATTCACAAAACCATGCTACAAAGGCTTCCCACAAAGCTCTATTATCACTGTTTGCTTTCTTCCTAAGCTAAATCGCTCTGGTGGGTTGTAACCTTTCCTCGGTGAGGAGCTGATTTCCTCAGTGCTGACTGTTTTGGTTGCCTGATTCTGCACCCTTCCCAGCCTGGTAACATCCTTTTTAGGTGTGATGACCAGAACTGGGAAACAGGATGCTGGACCATACTTAGGGCTGATCCAGCCAGGTTGTCCTTACGTTCTAAAGCAGCAATGTTCCACGCACTCGAGTCTATATTATTGTTGCTTGCTTATGTATTTACTAATAATCGCTGTCATTAGTGCAAGCAGCTTGGAATTTATTTGAAGGAAAACGGGATTAAGGCATACTTCTAAATAACAATCCTGAACTCGGTGAGGCTTACTTCCGAAACTGCACGTGCTTAGGGGCGGCGCGGACACTTGCTAGCAACGCATTTACTGAAGCGCCCCATTAAGAACCATTCATAAAAGGGAAAAAGCGAGGCCCTCCACGCTCATTCAAGCCACTCTCACTCACCTGGGCCAGGACTCCGGCCAGACTCTCTACGCAGCTTCGCGGAAGCAAGGCAGCCTTCCTTCGCAGGAGCAGGAACGAGGCTAGGGAGTGGACGAACTGCGCAACTCGTTTTGGAAAACTTTGGCTTTTCCCGGGCACCGTTCGGGCAACAGCAACGGGTGCCGACTGGGACCAGAAGAGTCCAATAAACGGACGCCTGAGCTTGCCGAGGCCCCCGCAGCCTCAGTCCCCGCCCCCGCGCGCGAGGGCATTCCACTGATGGATGAGGCGCCTCCCAGCGGCTCTCCACCGTAATAGGCACTCTCGTCAGCGCAGGCGCGTCGATCATTTCTTAAAGGAGCAGAGCCCTGAGCACATCCGGCCCCAGGCGTGTAGGTATGCATGGGGTCGGCGCCGTAGGTTGACCCAAAGCAAGTCCCGTCGAATTCATTGGGGTTCACTGAGAAGCCATGTGTGGGATTTTGTACTGTTAACGTTTCGAAGCAGGACCAGGATGACCAAGCAGAACCGATGAAGTGCAGGATAGACTTCATAAGCAGCAGGGGGTGCTTGTCCACCACTCATTCGTTTTCTCCACATTCCCAGCTCCACCAATTATTTCTAGTCTCAGAGTTCAACTGGACGGAGAAACAGTGGGGTGGGGTGCATGGGGAGAGCTCATGAAGGGACAGCGGCATGTACATGCAGACTCAAGCACTCCCACCCCTCCATTTGTCCACAGCAAATGCCCCTGCATTAGCATTATGAAATCCACACTTCCACGCAGACTCTGCTCCTCCATCTGTAGAGTCCATTGCTGCCTAACAAGTCACAGAGCACCTATGGTGTGGTCGCAGTTGGTGGCTTCATCATGAGTGGGTTGATTTGGTCCTTGTGGATCCAAATGCTTCGAATGTCTGCTTTTTCCAGTAGTGGATGCAACTGGGGCTGGCCCTACCATTAGGGAGAGTGAGGCAGCTGCTTCAGGGGCAAGTTTGTGGCACCCCTAAGGTAGCCTTGTGCCCTCAGGTGCAGGAGAGGATGCTGCCCCATCGCTAGTGTTGAGGTAGAATTCATCTGCTCAGCTTTTATGGATGGAGTAGATGGAGGTCATCACATTTATTTATTAGATTTCTATCCACCTTTTTCTTACAAAGAATTCAAGTGGCTTACATCATTTTCCGCCTTCTGCTCTCAGTCTTATCCCCAGAACAACAACCCTGTGAGGTAGGTTGGGCTGAGAGTCTGTGACTGGCCCAAAGTCACCCAGTTGTCGCCATGGCTAAGTGAGGACTAGAACCCAGGTTGCCTGAGTCCCAGTCCTGCGCTGTTAACCACTACACCACACTGGCTCTCATCTTGTCCTTTTCTCAGGGAGCAAAATCCCTTTGGCCCTGGAAACAACACATAAAAAGGAAGCATGTAACATTAGCTTTCCTGTCTCGATGACAGGCAAACCTTGAGAGAAGGAGAGGCCAGGATTTGGTTTTGTTGTGTCTCTTTAAAAGACTGGGGTTCTAGTGGAGAACTGTACTGCAATCAGTCTGGCATTTCAGCCAAGGAAAGGTGCCCAAAGGCCTCCCCTCAGCCCATGAAGGCAGGGCATGTAATGTTCTGGTACAGAGTCAGCGTGGCTGGCTGAGAGCCAACGGAAGAGGTTGGGTGGGCAGGAGATTCGACAGAATCCCACGGGTGCAGCGGCACACGCAGGAAAGTATGGATCATGCCATATCCTTCTTTAGGAAAATTGGACTATATCTTAAAGCACAACAATTTCCTTAAATTACATTTGGTTTGGAAATGCATTCCAGTAACTAATAAAAGGAGACCATGCAAAGCAGTCGCCGTTTTGTCTCCCTTCTCATACATAACTCAGTGACTTAACTGTAGCTGTCTCATAACTTTAACTTTTCTTGTTGTACATTAGGGGCTGTTGTTTCCTTGCAGCAGCAAATATTTAAATTTAAAACATCCAATTTCAATGCCTGTGATAGTTTGGAAGGCTCCTAGTACTTGGGAGCAGATTCCTGGCAATGAACCCCAAAGGTCACACATGAAGCTGCACTGTGTACTGAAATTCAGGGACATGCAGCAGTTGCTTTGCATTGCTGTTCCCACACTCTGGGCCAGGGGTCTCAAACTCGCAGCCCGCGGGCCCATTGCCGGGCCAGGCGGGGCACGGGGAGGGGCCCTGCAGCCTTCAAAGCACTGGCGGCACCCGGGCCGGCCTCTGGATGAGCGGCCCCCCACCCCCGCGGTGGTGGGATACTCGATGCGGCCCAGCCTCACCCGGACTCTAGTTCCAGCGGCCCCCAGGTCAGTTGAGTTTGAGACCCCTGCTCTGGACACATTCTCACATCAAGCTAACCCACCCTGGCAACAAGCCACAGTGGTTTGGTTGTGGGAAAAGCAACCCACAGTGAGCCCAACAGACAACCAGACTCACCATGCGTTGTTGGCCTCTCCATTCCTCTCAGTCCTCCCACTGGAATCCCAGGGTCAACACAGGAGAATGAGTTGTTTTGCCCCTCCACATTGCAACTGCAAGCCGTTTCAGGCTTGCTGTGGCTCTTTGCAGCCTCAAACTTTTTCAGGAGATGCAACCCCCATTTTTAGCAACTACAAGCAGTCCCTTCAGAGTTCCCAAGTGGAACCTTTTAGGAGTTATGCATGGTTGCCAAAACTGTTTTTAAAAACTGGTACCAAATTGTTTTGTGCAAAACAATGGCATTAAAAAATAGACATATTTTGCAGCCTCCAATGGGGCAAACTGGGGTATCTGGGAAGCCCATCTCTGATAATGGAAGTAGCACATAGCCAATGCGGCTAGTAGCCATTGATAGCCTCCTGTTCTGTCCAAACCCCTTTTAAAGCCATTGCAGTTGTTAGTCATCACTACTTCCTGTGGCTACTACTACTATGAATTCCATAGTGCATGTGCTTTCTTTTATCACTCTTGTATCTCCCACCAAATAGCTTCATGGGAATACCCCTTTGGCTGCTAGTACTATGGGAGATGGAGAAAAATCTCTCTCCACTTTTTCCACACCATGCATAATTTTAAACACCTCTGTTCCCTAACTCACCTTTTTTTCTAAGCTGAACAATCCCAGTTGTTGCAGCTGTTCCTCATAATGGAATTAATACAACCCCTTCACCATTTAAGTTGCTCTTCTCTGCACTTTTCCTAACTCAGTAATGTCCTTTTTCAGGTGTGGAGACAAAAACTGCACACAGTATTTCAAGTGCAATCACACCAAAGATTTGCATAAGAGGAGTATGATCTTGGCCGCTTTTGTTTGAATTCCTTTCCTAATGTTCAATGTAACATCAAATCATAGCAATGCACCTTAAGGAAAGGAGTTAAACATACAGGTTCTTAAGGTCAGAGGTTTTCCCATCTGCAGCCTGTAATGGCTTTGGAGAGAAGAGGCAGTTTGCCCTGGAGCCATGGTCAGGGCTGGCCCCACCAGGAGGCAGGGTGATGCAGTTGCCTGGGTAGCAAATGCTGAAAGGTGGCAGCAAAAACTCAGAGAGAGATGTGGGTTTCGTGGCCTGCCCTGTATCCCCGGAGCAAGTGGCTGCCTTCTGGTGAGGTGCTGCCCATCATTCGCACTGAGGAAAGGTTCAGTTTGTACATGGACTGGGAGGGGGCACCCTCATGTCCTTTGCCTGCCCCCTGACAAGTTCACTCATTCACTTGTTTGCTTATATAATTTAAATCTTGCACTTGTGGCATGAATTTATTTCCCCAGAGCACTTAACAAAGTACCCAGAAACAAAGTTCAAAAGTTACAAAACCTGGAAGCAAGAAAAGAAGGCATACACAAACTAAAATCCCAACTGTCCATTGAAGAATAAAATCAAAACTGTTCTAAAATTGGTGACCATTAGCAGTTCTTAAATGCCTGCAAAATATAATTATGTTTGCCTAGTATGAAGCAACAGTATGAACGGAGCTCCATACTGTCCTCCATACAGGAAAACAGCACCCTGTGTCTAGGTTAGATTAGTTTGCCATTCATTTGCTCCTTCCCCACAAGGATTGTACGGAGAGTTGGTCATGAGAGAGAAAAGTTGCTCATAAAAGCAGTGCTTCATTCCAAAAACATGACCCAAAAATGCATAGCATCATCCTTCACATCTCTGGCTGCTAGTTTGGCTGCTGCTGGCAGAGCTGGGTCAAGGAAGACTGCCACAATGCTCTGACCTGGCGGGAAAAGAATGAAGTGCATTTCCTCGGAGAATCCAGTCGCGAGGAACATCCTCCTGAGCAATTTAACCATTTGCATGTGTGTCCCCCAGCCTCACCAGTGCTGCTCCCATCCCACGCCTCCTCCTCTCTGTGTTTGTACTGGCAGAAAGAGAGGCTGATGAATTGAAGGCCTTCAAAAAAAATCTTTCAGAAACCAAAAAAGCCCCAAACTGAAACTGCCAGAGATCAAAAAGCTGGCTGGAGCCCAAGGTGCTGTGAAGAGCTGGCCTGCGGCAAGCTTTGCTTGGCACAGCTCAGCCCTGATGGAACCACCCAGCACCACAAGCGAGACTTTGGAGGAGGCTTTGCAAACTTCAGCCAAGGATACGGAAGGAGAGAGCGAGGCAGGGTGACAGTTCCAGAGACGTGGCTCGCTGCTTATCAGGTGCACTGGAAGCCAGCTTCTCGTGCTTGCCATGTGTATCGCACTGCAGGAGGTTACTGGTGCTTTCTCTCAGTAATCCTTGCAGTAGCCTTGCAAGGCAAGGCAGCTGAATTTGTTATCATTCTAGCAAATCTATTTGGTGTTGCTGGGGTTGGCACAGCAAACCTATTAAAAAAAGTTATGCAGCAGTAAGACTTGGACGTGTTACACCCATGGCATCTGGCTGAGGAGATGGTCCTGGCTGCACCGGGCATCCTCCTTGCCATGGTGAACTTCCTTTGCCTCCTGAGGGGGGTGCCTGCCTGCTTGATTCTGCAACAGAAGTAAGGCAGCCCTGTGACTCTGCTTATGCAATGACTGCCCGTTGACTTCGAACAGTATTGGCTTAAGGATGTATGGAAACAGGAAAAATCAGCTTGTTCCAGCTCAGGGGATTTCTTGCCTGCTTCTGATCCAACAAGCAGAAGAGAGCCAAGGGTGTGTGTGTGGGGGGGGGGGGGGCGGTTGCAGACTTAGAGAGAAGAGTTCATGTTCATAGCTCTAGAT